TAATTTTTCGAGAATAAAGCTCCAGCAGACTCGAAAAGTGGATTTAGTACGAACACGCACCACAAATTGTGCAGAAATCTTGATTTTGCTATGTAATTTGGAACCACTTCTTCAGAGGGCGATAGTGCGCGAGGGCATTTTAGCGTTCCTCTCTGATCTACACGCGCGCTGTCTACGATTAAAATAAGGAATACCCAATCTATCTTCTTTCAGTATCTATGGCTGGCATTGAACATTCGTATTTCGTTTCGTTCGATAACGTCGTGTAATTAATTTGTAAAGATCCAACCTATTTCGCCAGATGGAAAATAAATTGCAATTCGGTGGTTATCCCGCAGAATACGATCCTGTGAAACACGGGCCGTACGATCCTGCGCGCTATTATGGAAAACGTGAGTTCGTTTGTCGCATATCTAGCCTTTACGCTTTTCTTTTCCTTGGACACAATTTAGTATTATGTAATGACCCTTTTTGGTTTCATACAGCCGATACTCCGTTCATGGATTTGAAACTCAGCGAAATCCCCGGCTGGATCGCGAGACGTCAAAAAGGTCCACGGGAAACTGTGGCATTGTTCTCACGAGGTAAGTACTTGTACATAAGACAGAGGCCATTTTATCGGCCAAAAATTGCATAACTTTGTTGTGTGCCATTCGGAGAACAATATCTATAACTTGTGTTCCCTTATCTATTTTATATTACTCCGTTTGTTTCGCAGCATTCTGGCGCTGGCAGCATAAGTATGTGCAGCCTAGAAAAGGTGGTATAGCTCCCTTCTTCCAAGTGGTGGTCGCCTCTATGTTTGCGTTCTATTATATAAACTACAAGAAAATACGTGAGTACAGAAGAACGTAAAATAAATATAGAATAATTAATTTTATTTCTATTCGATTGTAAATTTAATGTTATGTTCTTTTTTTGTCTTTTTAGGTCATCACAGGACTTACAAATATCACTAATTGTGCTCTATTTAGTGATAGAGTGTCTATATCTCTAGACACTTATAGATGATCATAATAAAAGATTTATGATTTATGCAATCAATTGTTCATGAAGGATATTCAGCTGTTTAGGATTCCTTTGAATAAATATTCATAGTATGCGCAAAAAAAAACACTTTGTATATTATTTTATATTAGTTATATTACTTTCCATCTAATACCAATCAAATTATCATTAAAACTCTGAAATTTATAGTAAAGTTTAATTAATATAATCCCATATCTTAAAAATTCTAATGTAGAAATTTATTAAATTATAAAATATAAAAACAATGGAATAGTTTAAAAACAAACAGCTGTTAGAAAGAAAAATTTTTCAGAGTGAACTATAAATGCTTCATTATGAAAACTGTAGAGAAATAATTTTGTTGCAAATGAAAAATTAATAGAGAATTTATATATAATTTTATATATTTGGCTAAACTTATATAATGAAATATAATTGACAAATAATTTCATAATAATAAGTGGTTTTCACAAGCTACAAGTGAAAAATAAGAATTATTGTCAATCCAAATATGATAGTAGAAATAAAAAAGATGAGCAAATATTTGGTGTACAATCTTGAACGCATATTTATATTTTTTTGTTTTTTGTTTTTTAATTGTTTAATTTTATTAAAATTATAATGTATATATTTTTGTTATATTTACTGTACTGAAAAATTCTGTTCATGTTTTGAGGCACGTGCGACGTATGCCCGTAAGCAAGTTTAAAATATGTTATATCTTCATATGCGTCATAGATATGCAATAGATATGATATGTCCAAGGTATACAGGCTGACTAATAAAAAACGAAGTGATAAAAGCACATAGTAGTCTATATAATTGCTACATATTTTGTTAAATGCTGCATATTACAGCCGTTTCTTGAGGTCAGCCTGAATTAGCGATGGCGCAGAATTTTTTCTTTTCTACATTTTTAACAAAATAGTTTCATGAATTATTATTACTGAATAAACCGTGAATAATATTACGTATTTTTTCGATTTTATCTTCTTTCGAGATTTCTAATTTTCTATACATTTGCTTATACGTTTTAGCTTACAAAATATAAACGCATAATAAAAATTATTTTGTATATTTGGTATATTATTAATAGTAAATTAATAGTAAATTTGAGAAAAAATTGCTACAAATATTAAAAATAGAGCTTATATTTTAATACTTTATATTCTCTACTTTTTTTTAGCTCCTTATTTAATTCCAGATTTAACTCTAATAAGTATACATGTATATATACATATACATATACATATATATAATATATAAAGATAATATATATAGATTTTATCTTTTTTTCCTTATTATTACTTTAATACATCAAGTAGTAGAAATAGCGAATTTATAAAAATTTAACCCATTAATATTGTAATCTATTAAATTGACTAGATCGTGATTAATGATCTTTCTAACATTTTCAAATAATATTAGAATTATTATATCATTATTATTATAAATATATAGTTAACAATAGTGTAACGTCTGTTACAGTTGCATATTAAAAGAAATATGTATTATTAAATTATAGATAAATTTTGTCTTTATGCATAAAAATTATGGAAAAAAACCGATGACGCTGTCTGAATGAAAGCAAGCAGCACCAAGTCCATCGACGTTCGGCGTCGCCGTTAACCCAACACAGCGACAATGCCGACAATACCCATGCCCCCAACGGCCCCAACAGATGCACGCAACACGCAGCGCGTAAGCAAGCAAATGATTCTCGCGCATCGCGGAGACGCGGAGACGCCGCGTGTGCCCTCGCCAGCCCTCTAGCAATTATTGAACGGGGAGGATGGCGATTGGCTGAAACGATGGGTGACATGCGCGCCGCCGGCCAATGGGAGCAAAACCAGGGGACAAAACTCAGGTTCCTCAGCAATATGGCTGTCAGTATAAATTTGATGCTTGTAACATGAGTTTCTCTCCGAGAAATTTAACAAGCGTAAGCGTAGTTTCGCGTTACGCGCGGCGTGATGTGACTTTTGCGTGCCCGGCAATGCGGAAATGGCAACGCGGATCGGTTGAAACCGGAGCGAGACAGCCAGAACGGTTTTTGAGAAGGCAGGTATGCGATCCACACCGTCGTCGGTCATCGATCGGTCGGTCGCTCGTTCGTCATCTCTCGACGACCGATCGCCTCGTTATATCCATATTGCGCCCCAGACCAACGCGCCGCGTTTTTACCTGCGTTCTTCCCACATTCGCGAGGCACTCGCGAGATGCGATCGCTCGGAGTATCGCTGGGCGCGTGCCGTCGCCGTCCCCACCGTCATCCCCGTTACCGCCGTCGCGCGTCACCGCGATGTCCAGCAGCGATCGAGCAACGCCACCGCCGACGCGTCCTCGCTTCGTCATCGCCACCCCATTCTCCGTTCTCTCTACTTGCCTCCGTTCTTCGTTCCTCCAGCAGACCGACCCTACCCGAAAGTCCTCGCTGTTCGCAACCACCGATAATTGTTTATCTGATTACCGCAATTTCACTCTTCCGGTCGGAGATAACGATCTCCAGAATGCCAGAAGGGAGCTTGCCCGGCGTCGCACACAGCTGGGTACACAGTTCCGTTCGCATAAAAATAAGGGAATGAATCGTTCTCTCTCTCGAGTATCTTGGCAGCTAATGCGACAGTACTATCGTTAATTTATTTACTCGAATCAATAAATAATATGTTAGAAATATTGCGAAAATTTTACGAGTTACTTTTTCTAAAAAAAAAAAAAAAAAATAGACGAAATACTTTTTCTTAAAAAATAGACGAGGCAGACAAGGCTGTAATTGTACATTTCTGTTTTGGTTTTAAGGTATTCACGAGTCGTCTATTGAGCAATATACTTTATCACCATGACGTCAAGGTAAATGTATAATAAAATTTTTATATTTCTTTTATTTTTTCTTTCATACATTAATCTCATACATTAATACAAAATATTATACAAATACTTTGAATAAATATTAATAGACAATTCTATCAATTATATGTTATAAAGGATATTGTGAACAGATACTTTTAAAGATACTTTTTATTTTCTACCAATTCATTTCATATGCATATTATATTGTTAACTTTTTAGACTAGACAGACTATTCATATTATTGGAAACTGGGACAAATGCAGTTACCAAAAGAGCAGCTGCGCAACAGTTGGGAGAAGCGCAGAGATTACATCCTCATGATCTACATCACTTATTAGCGAGAGTTTCTACCTTATTAAAATCCTCACAATGGGACACTCGAATATCGGCAGCCCATGCTGTTCAAGCTATACTTGCTCAAGTGCCACCTTGGGATCCACAGCCAATCAAGAAGGAAGTCTCTACCGGTAATATTAATAATTTAATTTTGTCAAATGATTTTTAATCTTTAATAAGAATTTTTGAAAGATCCAGTTTACGTACTATGTACGAATGTTTTGAATTAACAGATGAATCCGAAGTGACTAAACGCAAGACTTCCACTACCAGATTGAATTTAGAGTCTTTTGATATGAGCAGAGTTCTAGCTCGTAGTTCACATCTTACTGGATCCGAAGGCAGCGAATATGACCTAACTATATCAGAAGGAGAACAGTTATCTCTGCCTAGTCAGCAAGAAAAATTAGCTGCAAAGCTGGGCTTTCATCCACGTTTGATGGGCGTCGATGATTTATTTACCGTCGAGGATCTTACTCCAGTACAGGTGCCATGTATGACACACGGTGCCACTACACCTTTAGACGAAACTTTGAAACAACCAGGAGGATTGAGCAGAAGAGAAATGAACAGAGCGAAACGCAAGGTATTACATTTTCAAACTTTTGTTTGTAATCGACTTTTTTTTAAATTATTGTAGTTTATGTAATTGCAAGTGTTAAAAACTTGAAAATATTCAGTATTGCTTTATACGCTTTATTTTATTTGCAAATTTTATACGAAGATATTAATTATTCATATGTTAATAAAATAGGCGCGTCAGTCAGTGACAAAGCAACGATCGCGTGAACCGGATGACCATCGCACTAATGATGATTCAAATTCAATGAATGTACAATCTCCAGTTAATAATATTGGCGAACCACCGATCAAAAAAGTTATATTAGAAGACACGAGCTTATCGGATACTGGATCAAAGTGCAGTATATCTAACGAGCAAGTAAATGGAGTGCCAGACGGTACTGGATGCTGGCCAGATTCTGTCGTAGATTGGCCTTTAGAATCCTTCGCAGAAAGTCTTTGCCAAGATTTATTTAGTCAAAAGTGGGAGGTGCGTCATGGAGCGGCAACAGCTTTACGGGAACTCATAAGACTTCATGGTAAAGGTATGTAAATCAGTAGTGATTTAAATTTTATTCATTTCAGTATTATATTCAATATTAAATGCTAAACGCTAAGTGCACTTGAATACACACACAGGAGCAGGCAAGTCTACAGATCAAACTCGGGAAGAAATGCAGGGGAGCCATTACGAATGGGTGATTGATGCCGCCTTACGATTACTGTGTGTACTGGGGCTTGATCGATTTGGAGATTTCGTGTCTGATCAAGTTGTTGCGCCGGTACGAGAGACGTGTGCTCAAGCGTTAGGGTCGCTCGTCCTACTAATACCCGGAGGTCCAAATGCCAAAGATATGAACGTTTTTCCCGGAATACTTTCTATAGTTCTCAAACTATTGGAATATAACGAATGGGAAGCGAGACACGGTGCATTTCTTGCTTTAAAATATTTATTGGCCGTGCGAGACGATCTGTTGGACGAGGTATTGCCAAAAGTGTTTCCCGCTATTATGCAAGGACTGTCCGATCCTGTCGACGATGTAGGCGCGGCCGCCGCAAGTGCACTTATTCCAGTGGCACATGCTCTTCCACGATTATTAAAACCAACAGAGCTGGAAGCGATCGTAATACGTCTTTGGCAATTGTTGAAAGAACAAGATGACTTGGCTGCAGCTTGCAACACTTTTATGGGCCTCTTGGCTGCGATACTTTCATTACCAGCGGCACACGCTTGTTTAACGCCCCAGCCGTTGTCGGAGGTAGGCAATATGCAACAATATCTTTATTATAATTTTTAGAAACATTTAAATATGTTTAAATAACGAACGATATTTATTTAGGTATTACCACGTTTATGGCCATTCCTCAATCACTCAAGTTCGAGTGTACGTAAGGCCACGCTGCAAACGCTGCAGACCTTAACCGGAAACAATGAAAATCGTAGCGAAAACAAAAAGGAGCGATGGGGCGAGAATGGCGGATTAGTTTTGCAAGAAGCGTTGAGACATGTATTTCAATGCGTGCTAATCGAACATATTGGCGTGATACAAGACGTGGCCGAACGTGTCTGGGAAAATCTAGTCGTCCGGAGTGATCTCGAATTATTGCTACACGCGGCTTGCCCTCATGTCAGTACGTGGCTTTGCCTCGCCATGCAACCGGAACATGTGCCATTCAATCCAAACTTGTTAATGACAGTCGCCAGTACTATTAAGGGCACGAAAAATAATCAAACGGTCGCTTATTGCGACGGGCAATCGGATACGAATGGCGGTAACAGTAATGTTAATGCAAACGCGAAATCGTTATCCGAATTGAAAATGTACATCGGCGGGATTGAAACGGTGGCGTTGAATGTACGAAAGGCAAACGTAGTACAGGCTCGTTGCAGAGCGTCTCGTATGTTAGGATTGCTGTCGCACTATGTTGTACAACCCGCACCGGGTGTCGTTTATCCACCAGATGTGCCTAGTCCAGCGCTTTGTTATGCTAAAGTCCTGTTGGCGCATCTTAATTCACGATCGGCGCTGCAACGTACCGTTGTGGGACTTACAATGTCTCATTGGGCGACTGTGGATCCACTGATAATACCCACGATACCAGACATACTCAGGTACGAAATAATACAACTTTTGTGTAAACAACAAATATTTCACGTATCTATATATTAACAGAACAAAATGTTTCTTTTTTTCTTTAGTGGCAGATTATTGGCTTGTCTAAATGAATGTATGTACTATGATGAGATTGCGACCTCCTTTACTCGACTGCTGCACGAAAGTCGAGATTACATCGCAACTTTAAAACATTATAAATTGGTGGTGCCAATTGAAGTAGATTCATCCGGCGTAATGACGCTTGATCAGATCGCTACACTTGCTGGGAAAACAATTCTCACCCTTTGCACTGTGGGAGGAAACGCAGGTGCAGCTAATATTGGCAACTGTTCAATAGCCATTAAATTGAAACCTAAATTAATGGAGAGCTTAGAGGAGAGGAGACGAGCGTTGGACGTCGGAGCGGCTACGACAGCAGCACAACAACAATCGTTGCATGTTATGTCAATGGCCGCTCTCGCCGGTGCCGCCACAATGTTACATATCCTTCCTCCATCCCCTCAGCCACTTAATCCGTTAGTAAAACCGCTAATGGAGGCTATAAAACGCGAGGAAAACGAGGAACTGCAAAAACTGGCTGCGAAACATTTGTCTCATTTAGTTGAGCTTTGTGTCGACCGAAAACCATCTCCGAACGCAAAGGTTTGTATATAAAGTGTACAGAAGCGTAAAGAATAAAAACGAATGTGACATAAAATATCTCAGCTCTACCAAATCCTTTCCACATGCTGCAAGGTGTTAGATGTTACATCAAATAATCATCCTGTTACAGATTTCCACCAATCTCTGTACATTCCTATGTTCTGACGTTGAGTTTACACCACGGGTATGTTGCGACACTGAGGCTTTCGATGGCATACTCACTTTGAATAACAGGCAAAAGCATGCTGAAAGAATAGCATACAATCGTGGCGCAGGTAGCGGACTCGGCAGCGGTAGAGGCCCTGGTAGGCCACCGACGACTGAGATTCCCCTTGAGGAATTACTCGCTTGCGAAGAACCAGAAGCCAAAGCCGCCAGAACGCGTCGTCGCGGAGCTACATTGGCATTAACAGCTATAGGTACATTTTAGTAATATTTAAAAGAATTGTTCCTATGTATTAATCAAAATTAATTAACGTTCAATTAAATCTCTGCAGTTTTTTTTTTGATCTAATAAAAAAAATAAAACAGAAAAGAGATCAATTAAATTTCAATCAATTATTAGCGTAATTAACTTTTGTGCGAGCGGTCTGTAATAGTCTGTATGTAATCTGTGTGTAAATTTTATCTAATTCAAAATATTTCCGTATTTTTCCATAAGCTACTCTCTTTGGTGCTCAATTGCCTAATCGCTTACCTCAACTGTGGGATTTGATTTTACCGAACACACTGAAACACGCAACCAAACAAGATAATATACAGGAGGAGGAAGGAAATCAATTAATCTTCAGTTTACAAGTGTTAGAAATTTTGGCGCCAAGTTTGGACAAGTCTCTATTACCACCTGCGCTAGAGGTTCTACCGTGTTTGTGCGATTTACTAGCGCATCCATTCAAAGCCGTTAGGCATATGGCCTCGCGATGTATAGCTACATTAGCTACTCTAAATGCAGAGAAGGTAATAGTTAATATCTACATCAGACACATATTGATAATGACAGACATAGAAAAGACTAAGGATAGTTTCTTTTTTAGACAATGGTACACATAATACGCAGCGTTATACCACTCTTGGACACAACTGGAAGTGAGAGGAAATGTTCTTCGGGCATAGTGGCACCGAACAAAGTCGATTCCGTACGCCAAGGGGCAGCGGAAGCTCTAATTTGCATCGTCGAGAGCTTAGGCGTACACGTGGTACCATATGCAGTACTATTTATGGTACCCTTATTGGGACGTATGAGCGACCAAAATCAATCTGTAAGACTAGTTTGTAGCGCGACATTCGCTACGCTTGTGCAGCTGTTACCGCTAGATCCTGGCGCGATTGCGGACCCACCAGATCTAGTGTACGTTAATCGTGCAAGTTTACATACTTATAATGTTCGGTAAGAGGTGCATTTGGTGCATGCATTGATATTCCTTGAAAATTATTTCCGTAAATAACAAACGCTTACAAATAATATTGCAGAAATATCAATTCAATAACTATCGAATTCAATTGAAATTTAAACATCGATAATGCAACAACAATCATTGAGTTAATCATTTCAATAATTGTGCTTGCTAATGTGCTCGCCGTGTCGTCTTTCGAAATAATAAATTTACTATTGAATTAAGCAGGCTATAAAATTTGATAAAAATATTGATTAACTTTAAAAAATATTTCAACAAGGTATATCGCTTTATTCACCAATTGTACATATTATCGAAAACTCGCTTGAGTTCAATGATCTTTATGTAAAAATCATATCACAGGCAAGAAAAGGCACAGGAGAGAAAGTTTTTGGATCAACTTCTGAACCCGCATAATATTCCTGACACGGAACTGCCGATTCCTGTAGCCGCGGAATTACGTTCGTATCAACGACAGGGCTTGAATTGGCTCAATTTTCTGAATCGTTATCATCTTCACGGAGTTCTGTGTGACGACATGGGCCTCGGGAAAACATTACAAACGCTCTGCATCCTAGCGCTGGACCATCATCGCAATCCACAGGCGCCGACCAGTCTAGTGGTATGCCCGCCAACTCTTACCGGTCATTGGGTATACGAGGCCGAGAAATTCTTCAAAGCGAAGGATTTGTCAGTCATTCAGTACGCCGGCACACCACAAGATCGCGAGAAATTGCGCCCCCGGGTGCCACACAACAGACTCGTGATTGCGAGTTATGACATTTTACGAAAGGACATTGAATTCTTCGAGGCGCATCAATGGAATTACTGTGTGCTCGACGAAGGCCATATAATAAAGAACGGCAAAACGAAAAGCGCCAAGGCTACGAAACGATTGCACGCGAATCACAGGCTTATATTGTCTGGCACACCTGTACAAAACGACGTGCTCGAGTTGTGGTCTCTATTCGACTTTTTGATGCCGGGCTTTCTCGGCAGTGAGAAACAATTTGCCGCTAAATATTCCCGTCCCATCTTGGCCTGCAGAGAACCGAAGGCAGGACCGAAAGAACAGGAGGCTGGTGCTTTAGCTATGGAAGCTCTTCATAGACAGGTAATATTGTCGTGCAAAAGTACCTTAATTTGGATTACATCACGGTGATTCATCACGGTAATCGCGCGCGTGCGATGTTGCAGGTATTGCCGTTCTTATTGAGACGAAACAAGGAAGACGTGCTGCAAGATTTACCTCCCAAAATCACACAGGATTATTACTGTGACCTATCACCTTTGCAACGCATACTTTACGAAGATTTCCGCACTCGTCATTCGGCTTTCACCAACAGCTCCTCCTCTTCGAATGACTCTCAAAGCAGCCACGTGTTCGAGGCGCTGCGTTATTTGCGTAACGTGTGCAATCATCCCAAATTGGTGCTGAGTCAAGGCCATCCACTGTATCGAACAGTATGTATTCAAAAACAGAAATATTTAGAAAGAAATGTATTAAAGAAATTTTAAGAAAAAAAAAATCAAAAATAACCTGGTTTCACAATGTTACATCTCTCAATTTTTTTTATTTTGTTTTTATAAAATCTGTATTGATTTTTTTCATCATATACAATTTTTTTTCTATCATATTTCCAGGTATGTGACATGTTGAAACAGCAACAAAGCACTCTGGCGGAAATTGAGCACGGCGCCAAGTTACTTGCATTGAAGCAACTGCTGTTGGATTGCGGTATCGGACAACAGCAACAGCAGCAAACTCGCAATTCCTCCGCTGTGAATCTTGCCACGGAAAGCAGCCACTCCCAGGAACAGCAATTAGTTAGCCAACATCGGGCTCTAATTTTCTGTCAATTGAAAGCAATGTTGGATATCGTGGAGGAGGATTTACTTCGCACGCATCTGCCAACAGTAACATATCTCCGTTTGGACGGCAGTGTTCCGGCGGCGCAGAGACACTCTGTCGTAGCGCGTTTCAATGCCGATCCATCGATAGACGTTCTTCTATTGACCACTCAGGTTGGAGGTCTTGGATTAAATTTAACGGGAGCGGATACAGTCATATTCGTGGAGCACGATTGGAATCCTATGAAGGATCTCCAAGCGATGGACCGCGCGCACCGTATAGGCCAGAAAAAAGTAGTCAACGTATACCGCTTGATTACTAGATCGACAGTGGAGGAGAAAATTATGGGGCTACAAAAATTCAAACTTCTCACTGCGAATACGATAATATCGACGGAGAATGCTTCTTTGGAGACCATGGCTACTGATCAAGTAATTCAATAATTCATAATGTTTGATACCGAACTTTACTATCGAAACTCACGTGATGTTAATATCAATATGATTCCCTTAGTTGTTAGATCTATTCTCGTTGGATAACGGAAGGGAGAAGAGGACGGATCACCAAGAGGACAATGTTTCGTCGAAACTTCCTGGCCTACCGGGAATTAGCCGTTCTGTGCTAGATATCCTACCCGAACTCTGGGAACAACAGCAATACGATGATGAATACGATCTCGACTCATTTTTGTCTACTCTCAAGGCTGATAGCCAGTAAGCTTACCAGTACCTCGACAAATCATTCAAAGTAGATTTAAAGTTTGGCAAGTAATTTCACGTAACTCCGAAGTTGATATATGATATCAAAGGAAAATATTGTAGAAATCGCATCCGGTTGTTAACTCTTGGTTACGTATAGTTCGGTAGTTGTAACATATCCCAATGGCCAAAAGCGATCTTACATAATTTACACACTAATAAAAACTACGCCTGATTAAGAGTTAACAGGCTCATGTAACCCTGTTACAATGGAACGAGCCGTTAAGTTTCAATTAATAAGAAAAATGACATTATCAGCGTACCTAAACTCTCAAATAACCCATATAATAGTAAGTAAAGATAGATGAAGGTATCAGTGCGTAAAGGTAAACGTGTGTTTTGTTTAGTTATAATAATTTATAAAAATGCCGATATAATTACAATTCCGCATTTGTACCAAATGACGCCACGGTGCATAATTATTTATAATGTATAATATACTAGTCTCTTTTTTTTCTATATTATGATGAATCAGCAAATAACAATACCATTTTGTTCGTATTTGCTATCTACGTACGTTCGCCATTAATCTAGAAAATCAAATTTTTTATTTAAAAAAACATCACACTAAACACAATCTTAATGACAAGTTGATATGACATTGTAACTTTCGATCGAAGAAACGAGATCATATCAATTTGCTATAATCAAATTTTTCAATGATTCAATTAAGATTCAATTATCGGCACTAACGGAGTACGAAGTAGTTCTACAGATCTCTTCACTGTCACACATACGGCTTCGATGACGCTTTTAAATTCACAATTTTGATTTATTCCCCGAAACCATATTACCCGCCGCGAATATATTATGTGGATCCAAATGCGCCTTAGTCGCTCGGTAAAGAGACACACCCGCTTCCCCGACAGCTTCGGGATAAAATGATGCTCGTATTTTACCGACTCCGTGATGATGGGAGATCGAGCCGCCATTGGCGAGTATCTCCTCCCGCGCCGCATGCTCAATGGCCTCGTAAGATTCCACGGGACTCTCCATGTTTGCGCTAATCGCCAAGTAAAAATACACGCAACAACCCGCGTCGTATGTCTGCGTGACGCGGCAAGAAATAAAATATTTACGAACACCGTGCGCCTTACACTCCCTGGTCACACGAGACTTAACATTTTTACACAGTGATAATGCACGATTCCACGAAACGGAAGTCTCGAACGATTCCGCTAACACGTTAAACTCAAGTGCAAGGTCACGGATATACGCTATCACGAACGTCAACATGTAGCCTCGTTCGCCGTTCGCCTCGCCTGCCGGTACGCCACCGTACTTATCAGCTATCTTGTAAATTTTCCGTTCCTGAGCCGCGACATCCGCCGCCACGTCGCCCTCCATCAATAGCGTGGCCACGCACATCTGATCCCATCGGAAACCTTTTATTTTAGTGATGTACATATGTTTTAGTCCTTGCAGGATCAAGCTGCCCCAACCGGACTCCGGGCGTAGAGTTTGCCCCATTTGGAACTGCTCATTGTCCATTAAGCGTATGCTGGCGGGTTGACATCGTTCCTTTGCGATCTATACATGTATATAACAGAATTATATTCTTTCATCGATCTTGTATGAAAAATGGATCGCACTTCTTTACCCCCCCTTTTGAAAAACGGACGTACATGCAATGCCTGCCTTTCGGTGGCTCTCTCTCTCTCATAGTATTTGTATTGGACAAGTGTTAATACAAAGAAACACGATTCTTAACCGGTCGGCTTAATGTAAGAGTCAACATACGCACCTCTCGCAACGCATGAACGCCGCTCAAAAAATGTGGAAACACAATACTGCCGTATTTCACCACTCGCGGTAACGGTCTTATCTTCAATATGATCTCCGTGATAACACCTAGCGTACCCTCGCTGCCGAGTATCATATGATCAAAATCCGGGCCGCAAGACACGCGAGGTACCAGACTACCTCTTTCCAAAGTGATAACGGGATCCTCTGTTCTACCAGTGACCATTCGTATTTGCACGACCAAATCTTCAATGTTGCCGTATGTGTTTTTCTTCATGCCGCTTGCCCTAGTCGCCACCCATCCACCTAAACTATTCGAGACAAGCTATTTTCAGCTTTTGAAATTTTTTGTTTCTTATATTTGAAGAAAAACTTTTAAATACTGATTATTATTCAGGGCTGAGTTTCAGATGATGTAAATCTTTAAAATAGTTTTAACTGTTGGATGTTACAAGTTGTACAAGTTACATATATTTTTTGTTAGTTTAATTTTTCAAGAATATTGATGCATTTCGTATTTTTTAAGTCAAAATTACAATCATATATTGTATACCTAATTTAAAGTATTATTTAATTTCAATCACAGATAAGATAATTCGATCCATTTTTTTACATGGTACTTAGCCCTGAATCGTACAGGTATAAATGTACAGATTTATAAAATAATATCATTGATTACCCTCTACGGCTTTTTTTGGTGCGATTATTGTGCTTAAATACAAAAAAAACTTAAGCTTTATTGTATGGCGATTTTATGACGATTTATAATACGAAGAAAAATGAGTTTTGTTTGCTTTTCATGCTGTATGTTTAAAATAGCTCATATTCTGAGCTGAAAAATCAATATTGAATTCAGTAAGAAATGTACATTTCATTATTGCAAATATTATCATGTATACAGAGCGTTACTCGAATCAGTCGTCGGTTTTTGAGACTTCCGCGATGGATTGACAACAAAATATTTCTAACAAATGTTTGTTAGTTTCTAATAAAGAATTGCGTAAGAGAAATTTCAAAATTGTTCATTTTTGAACAAAAAATCCAAATCAAATTTTTTTTTTTTTAATGGAACCATATATGTTTCTTTAAAATAAATAATTCTTTATTAAAAATTAAACTTTTGGGACGTTCAGAAACATTTTGTTGTCAATCCATTAAAAGTTTTCAAAGAATCTCAAAAACCGTGGCGACTGATTTGAGAAACTCTGTAAATCTGCAGTTATTGCATATGTATCATTTATATATGTATTCATATAAATATTTATATATGTTTATTATATTTATTTGAATAAATATAATACACATATATTGCAATAAATGTTTAACATTCACTAATGTCATTTTGTAACATGCTGCAAGATACTAATTGATTATTATTCATCGCACATAATCTAAAAAGCTTTTTTTAATTATTGTGATTTTATGGGTAACTGTGTATTTTGTTTCGCCTCTTTTCAAAGTATCTATTACACCCATCTTTATCATATTATGTACCTTGATAAATCTTAATAAATTAATTTTGTATGAAATCACAATTTTAATGCATTTTATGATTTAAAATTAAAAAAGAATTTTAACCGAATTTATATCACGTATAGTTTCTATATTAATTAGAGTAAAATAATAAAAATTAGAGTGAAAATAATAAGAAATAATCTATTTAGATTATAATAGAAAAAAACAATTAGATTGTACCGATTGTACGCGTCAGTTTAGTTAAAGTTTGCAATTTCAGTACGTCGAAAGTATTAAATATAATAATACAAATTTCTCAATAAAATTTTGTGATATTGAAAGTATTCTCTTTAACGCAACATGTATCTCGATGTACTGTGCATTGGTACAAAGCTTCTACTTTATGCAGATTCTAATCGGAAGTTCTCGCGTACCTGGAGAATTCGTAAGAATCGGGCTCGTGGCCACATGTGAATCCTTCGGAGCGAAGCAATCGCTCCAGATCCTGACCGATGATGCCCGATTCGCAGCATATCAGCAAATTGTCCCTATCTATCCACAATATCCGATTCATTTGCGACGTATCTAATGAAATTATCGTTCGACGTTCATCCGAAGGACAACTCGCCGCACGGCTGACACTGGTTCCACCACCGAAAGGTATGCAAACGGTCCCATAGCGTCCACATATATTGACAATTTTTACGACATCCTCGTGGCACTCTGCGGGTATGAATATTAATAGAGGACACTTCAAGCAAACAATTTCCCATAGAAAAAGGAATAAAAAATAAACACACGTTTTCGCTCGTACGCAGTAGAAAATATACTTAAGTAAATGTATTTATACAGTATAGAAAACGCAGTGTGTCGTTTTTTCAAAAGTTGTTAAGGACATTCATAATTCATAAGTGATTAGTAACATTTTGCAACTTTTTTTATTTAATTTAATTTAATTTAATTTAAGGTTGTGGGCGATTTTTAATTAGGATTTAAATCTTTCTGTATTGATCAGGATACTCTCCATTTTTTAAATAGTTTTTTTTATGTAAACGAATTTTGCTCGTTATATGCATTATGAGATCTAAGAAATAAAATATTCTAATATATTCTGTTATGAAATATCTCGTTAGTCTATTTACTTCCAAACGTGTCTTTATCTATGTTATGTAATGTTTTGCCACGTTCTCAACTCGCTCCTTCAAGTCGTTCTATTAACGTTCATTTCATTACCTGATGAATTTTGACCTGAATTCGATCAATTACATACATCCGGTATAATAAAATAATTAATAAACGGGTTATTTCAAAATAATAAGAGAAATTTTATCTAAAAAAAAAACACATATGTCTCCACGGAAAAATACAAGTGACTCACTTATATCAATTTTACTTTTAACAAAATTAATTTTTTGTAATCTTAACTAAATACTTTGTATTTGTTAATTTAGTAAATATCTTCTTTTTGGTAAGTCTTGTGTGTACTCTTTAAATTCGGAACAATTTTGTATCACCTATATATGAAAGTGAAAGGAAAAGAGACCTGCATATTAGTTGGGTTAAATATCCGACCTTGCAAGCCTGAGCAGAAATTCATATTGATTATTCTTGTTACTACTGACATGTCACTTGTAACGTTGATTTATTTCTGTGGAAGATCCTTCACACATGTTATACGCAGCATTTTACGATTTATTTTTAACAGTTAAGAATACCCGCTAAAATTTAGTTGCAACATCGAAGATAGTAGTTTAAAAGTTTCAGTTACAGTTGCAAGTCTTGAATTTTTGTATGCAAATAAATTTTTCAGATGTGAGAATATAACAAAATTAATTGATTCAAATTAACTGAAATGGTATCAACAAATTAAATATTCAATAAAATTTACGTAAACCATGTACACAGATGGCAATATAATAACGCGATATTAAACAAATTAATTATTTGATAAATTTAAGGGTATTCAGAAGTTTGTATTAAAAAAGAATTTTAATTTTAAAAAATAACGGGAATATTTATTTGTTACAATCAATTTCATAAGTCAAACATAAACAATAGAATTATCGCTGTTTTACAAAATATAAAAAAAATATATATATATATTTAAAAGACATATTTAAAAAATTAGACACATATTTTTAATTCAAGATGGTAAAAGATTGCCAGTAGAACTCTAGAACTACAACGCACTTGCGACAATAATTAAATAGGCGGAGTAGCATTTGCGCTGATTACAAACTTGCAAAAGAAAAAGTCGACATATGAAAGAAATATCATTTGCAATTGTAATAATATTACATGTTCAATCAACAACAATATTACATGTTCAAGATTACATGTTCAAGTTCAATATTCTATTTTAATTTCTTGATCGCGATTCTTAATGATTATTTCGAAAATATTTCCAACGTAAATTATTCGAATGCTAAAAATAATTTATGTTTATCATAATAATTTTTTTCAAAATTAGAATGCTTCGAACATTTAAAGATTATTCGTTTCCTCTATTCGTTCAAATGTAATTTTTTCTTTATATATAATATAATTGTTTTGTTTTTCTATTTTTCATCTAAAAAGATATATTTCAAAAATTGAAAAAAATAGTGAAATAAAAATTTTAAAAATTTAATAATTATATTATTCGTAAAATTTGTTATATTGTTCTTAATAACGCCTCTACAACTCTCTGAGCAATACAATCTTGTTAATAAATATAGATATTCTTTAAAGATCAGTGTTGCGTGTATGTATATTAAGACGTATAATCAAACTCCGCCTATTTGTTGCAGTTTTTATGACAATGATAAAAATATATCAACTTACTGGGCCACAGAACAATATCCGGTATCCTTTCGAAGGAGCCAAATTTCAAAAGATAAATTTCTCGCAACGTGTGACCGTGTGCTCGAAACAGACGATCGACACCATCGGTAGAATAGTCGATCGTCAGTTCCTTTATAGCTTCCAACAATTCTGCAGAAAGAATTGGTTCTGGAAAGTGCTTTGGTAAATTTTGAGACGTGTTTTTCATCTCCCAAGTTATATCGAAAGTTGTTTCGCACCATTTTGTAAAATATGGAAGCTGTCGGTTTCCAATCGGATATCTAAAAAAAAGACAAGCATAAATATAAATAATAAAGTTGTTAATAAAAAAGATGGTAATAAAAAACTGTTTACATGGGAAGCTTTCTGCATAGCATATATTCTAATGAACTTTAACATTATAATTATCATTGAAAATCAGATATCCATATTTATAACAGAATAGACGTTAGATCAATTTTTGCGACAATAACTATTCTATAGGAAAGAATTAGAAGTATTACTTTAGATTTTGTTCATACATTCCTTTATTATTCTTTAAACAATTAGTGAATTTTCTAATTGATCAATCTCATTAATTAAGGAAATAAGTTTTCTCTATAAAATTGTGTCTAGCCTATTATATATATAATATCTTTATCTTATTGATAAATAACAAAACAAAAAATGGAGAACTTCCAAAGATTGATTTTATCCCTTCAAAAATTTACAGTAAAAAATGGTTCATTACATAAAAATATTCTATTGCCAAATTTTTGATAATTTTTTAGTTGAAGATTTTTCCTTATAGACCGCAATTATTTATAGTTTATTTTACGATGCTTTTTTTTGATTGATGATACTAAAAGAAACTAGTTTATATTCAGTTATAACACTTAAAGAAACTAGTTTATAACATATTCAGTTATTAACATAATTAACGTTTTCGTTAACTATCTCTATATATTGGCAATTCGATTAAATAATTACTGTAACAATCGTTTTAAATTCATTATACAGATTGCAATTCTGACTTAAAATACACCTGGTATCAATACAGTTGTATCTTATTCAAACTAAACTAACTTTGATAATGACATTCTTATCAATCCTATTATCATATGATTACGATATCACTGCTAAAAAAAATTTATAAATTTTAAATTTAAAAAATGATAATTTTTTAAAAAATTAGGAATTTAAATTTATAATAATTAAGAAAAAGAAAGAGAGAGAAAGAGAGAGAGAGAGAGAGAGAGAGAGAGAGAGAGAGAGAGATTTCAGTCTCTTAATAACTTTCAGAATGTGAGCCATTAAATATATTATTTTATTATTTATATTACGATTATACTTACAGACATGTAATTAGACGTTATATAAATGTAATATTATCAAAACTATTAAAATTATTAAAATAGTATGACATATTTTTTAAATAATTATATCATTACAGTATTAATAGTAATCACATTCTTATGTATTTTCTTCTTTTTAATATTTAAGGAATTTTGAAAAACAAAAAAGTTGAATTCGCTGACGATATGAGATTCTAAATGCAAGTCTCACTCAAGCAGTGCAAATAAAAGATGTATACACGCTACAAGACATCGCGACATGCTTTAACGACGTTTGCCAGTAACTGGATAAACAGCTATAGTAGATAGATGTAAGGAAAGACAATATACGCGATTTCAACATTCAACGTGTACCCTTAGCAAACAAAAATCTCTCAATGCTATGAATATTTATTGAAATCTTCAACACTCTTGATGAATAATCAAATTATTAAAATTGAGTGAGAAATTTCTTAAATAGATAAAAGCAAAAGTTACAAACCACATAAATTAATTACATTAATTATAATATTAATTACAATATTAACATTAATTATAATATTAATAAATATTAATTACTTAAAAAACCGAAAATTTCGGAATCTATTTCGAATTCAATCAGCGAGAGTTAATAAAAGACAAAATTATGACCTAGGAATTGAAAAAAAAAACATTTGGTTTTTTATAACTATATCATAAAATTTTTTGTATTATTATATAAAATATATTTGTATTATTATATAAAATTATTTCTTTGCTTCCGTTTGCTCTCTTAATTTACGCATCGCTTAACAGTAGTTATGTGCGATAAGATATATCGAATGTATCGATTGCCAAACAGCAAGGTCCTACGAAACTCACCTATTACCAGTAAACTCCACCACACTTTTGTCGTTTATGCAAAATCCGGAATCCTTGTAACCCCAGCCATTCCATTTTAACAACTGCTGCCTTAACACACCAACAGAAACGCGTAGCTGTGAGTACACCCGAAAAAGACCGAAAGCCAAATATAATTATATCCGGATGTGCGTGTGTGCAAGTCTCGAAATATTTCAAATTGTCGGTGTGTGTGTGTACCGCGCACACATTTTTGTCACGTGACCAATAAATGCTCGACCGGGCGCCGCTCGTAAAAAAATTGAAACGTGATTTTTTTCAAATTTACGCATGTCATTTCTGCGCACGTGTTTTTTATGCCCGATTTAATCTTTAACAAATATTAGAAAAACAGAGCAACAACAAAAAAAAGGGAAAAAAATCGGTTTGCTCATAAAAGACGCATATAACACGAAAACGATAAGAAAAAAGAGGCAAGCCATCGAACAATTAACACAATGTGTATTCACGTCCGCGAAGTCATTCGTGACGCGGGGGAGACACGACGACGACGACGACGACGACGACGACGACGCCGCCGCCGCCGCGACGTCGACTGCAGTGAGTCATGCGAATTGTTGCACACGCAAAGTGTACACAGTTGCATAAGGTGTGGCCGCGATCGCGATTAAACGCACGCACAGCCGGCGCAGCGTGGGCATGTCACGCGTGGCAACGCGATTCCTGGATGTGTATATATATACGCGCATATACAGGGCGCATCTGTCTCCCTTATCGGAATTCTCCCAGGGAACAAACGAGTACCACCCGAACGCGAGACTGACCTGATTTTCGGCACGGCGCTCACAAACTCGGTAGGTTCATTCGCGCTCGCCGTTTCCACGGTCGTCCTGGGCTTTCCTTCGTCAGACATCGTCCGTCGCGCAAAGTTGTTAGACTCTCGCTTGAAAATAAACGGAAAACAATAACCCTAAAACACGCGCGGCGACAGCTCCACGTCCACTATTGACACGCGCACCGGCAAACCAAATTTAAATCGATAGAGCCTCCGCCCGACCACCCACCCGACGCACCAATCACGCATTTGTCACGATTGGCCTATCGCGTGAGCTTTCAAGTGACCAATCCGGTGCGTCCTGCCAATCAACGCAATACAGCCAATATATCGTGCCGATAGTTACTACTGATATGACTTACTTTCATATACTATAAACTATAGGCCTTGCACTTTTCTTCTATTTAAAATTCTCCTGAATTTTATGAGTATCGAAAGAAACAGCTCCGCGGGCACAATTTTGTGCGTCTCTAATGCCCGTATTAGAGATTAAATTAAGATTGCGAAATTGAGATTAGATTAGAATTTAATCAACCAAAAGTAAGAATTAAAACACATGTAGCATATTATTCGATATGCTGACTCAACGCGACTCCATGGTCTTTTTAACTAACTTTTAGCTGTAAAACAAGAGCTAAAAAACGCAGCTGAAAAGGACAGACCATTGACTGATCGCGGAGTCAAATCAACAAATAAAATACGCTGCTACAAGTTTCAAATATTTAATGGACACACATACGGTAAATTTTTTAAACGTGTTAATTGGTCGGGAAATAGAGAATTTCTAGAGACTTGCGAAAAGTGATCGTTTCGCGAACGTCATTGCGCAGGCGCGGGAAAAAAGAGAGCGAGGTCGCATTATCCCTATGTCGGCTATGTTTTTATGTCTGTTCGTATGATCTGCACTTGTTGCACTCAGAATTTTCGCTTTCTCCTTTCTTCAACGCTCAAAGTATATTTATCTCGTTTCAGGTGCAGACATTTTCAGAGCAGCACGCACAGATCTATTGCCAGTTTTGCCCCTCCATCATCGGATATACATGTGTTAAATGTATTTGACATTAGAGTCGCTCAGACTATTTTTGTGGACTGTCTACGCTTGTTTACAATTATTGTTACGCGAACGAGGGATGCATTACGATTGGATTACTAATCGTCAATAAGTAAATCGTCAATACGACAATACTAGGATTGCAAATTGCTACAAATTATGTACACTTTGACGATCGCTTTCCTTTAGCACGTCCAAGTTAGAACCTTTCGCAATGTATGTGAAACCTCGTGGATTAGTCTCGCTGTAAAAGCTCTCCGCTGTCGTCTGCAGTATGGACGTGAATGACACAGAGACGTACGACGAGGACGTGAACGATCAGCCGGTCGACTACAGCAGAAAATATATGGAGAGAAATGCTCCGACGCAGAATCAATGCCTGGCCGACGCGAGCGGATCGCAGGCGGGATCGCATACCGCGAAAGAGGAATTCGACGAGTGCGAGGACAAGGTGGATCTGTTCGGCGACTATGCCGAGACCGATCTCGATCAGCCTACGGATTACAGCCTGCGATACGCCGAGGACGACACGGACGAGGAGGAGAAGCAAAACACCGAGTACTTTCCTGGCAGCGAGCAAGAGGATACCGTCAAGACTTACTGCACAGAGGGAACGCCCTATGAGACTCCCTTTAACTTCTCCACGGCTACCTCCATGTCAGATCTCCGGGTCGAAGACGTAAAGGAGCAGCACGTACTCGTGAAGAAAGTACCGAAAAAGACGACCGAAGCGGCCAACAAATTATCTGTGTCCTTCATCAAACAGACTGAGGCACTTGATTGCAACGAACAAGATGGTCTAATAGCAAAAGAGCTGGAGGAGGAGGAGAACTCAAAGGACACCACTGTTCTTAATCCTGGACAAGTAACTCCAGAGAAGATAGTGAGTTATTATGAGGAGGAGGAAACGTCCCGTGGCTTCTCGCGTGTCAATTCGCTTAGTTCTTTGAGTAGCGCAATGACTTCTCAGAATAACATTACGGGAATTATGTCGAAGGAAGATTTATCTCCCTCTGTAAATAAAGAAGAGTTGGAGAATGATAATCACAATGTTGTGAGATTGAATAGCAGTCAAATCGAATTGTCTTCGGTGAGCGACAATTCTTTTGAGAATAAGAGTAGCCCACGTGTGCTAGATAAGGAAGGTTTGTATCACATAAGTTTATATAAAAATATGAAACTGTACTTCTATATAGAATTTTAACAAATATGTATTAGGTGTGATATGTTATAGTACTAAAAGACATTGTATATATTCAAGGAAAAATGGTGACATTTGGCGAAAATTACTATGCGGAAGAAACTCCTCTAATGTTTTCACGCTGCAGTTCACTGGGCTCACTGAGCGGTTTTGAACAATATTCTATCCATGACGATCGTAGTTCTGTGATCAGTGACTTTAGGTAAATTATATATATATTTGAAAACATAAAGTTCATTATATCTAAAGTACAAAAATTTATATTAAGTTTTATATAATTATATTTTATTGATATTCTATCAGCTGAGTACATTTTATTTCCAAGATTACTATTTTTCTAAGCAAATATCTAAAATTTTTTTATTTGAAATAATTTTAATTCTTCAATTATGCAAAAAAAATATTTTTAATTATTTCAGCCGCAGGACCAGTGGCGTAGTTTCGCCCAGTGAACTGCCTGATTCACCCACACAAACAGTTTTACCGAGTCCACGTAATCATAAAACTCAGAACACAGAATTTATATCAAAGATACAAGAAGAAGGTAAAGACACAATGGACTTTGTCTGCGTGTCGTTGGCGGATCTCCAGGAGGGGACCGCCTCCCGAGTCGTACAAGAAGAAGCAGTAAGACCGTCTGTCCAACATTTATGTAGGCATTACTATTGATTACCAATACGTTAATAGTAATGATAATAATAATAATATAAATTTTAAAATTTGTTTTATCTAGAAAATTGCCTAATTTTATATCTGTTGCAGTATTTTCTAAACCACACGTCACAAGGAATAGTGTTTTTGAAGATGACATTGCCACGTTTAAGGAAGAATCAACACCAATTGAATTTTCTAGCGCAACCAGTCTGAGCTCTCTTACGATTGACGACGAGGTCAAAATACCTAAGGATGATAATAAAACGTATTGTACGATGGAAAAAACATTTGATATAAATGAGAAAGATGTTCATATACTCGAGAGAGATATGCTTAATATGAAAATAAGTAGCTCAGAGAGCAATGTGAAAGAGGAACAAGTGAGTGACGGCGATGAAGACGATGAGGATATGTTGGCTGCCTGTATTAACATGGGAATGCAAACCAGCAGGTAATATATTATAGAAAAGGAATTTACTAAATTTAGAATTTGTAAATTATTTATGAATGTATTTACACAGATATAGGCAGTTTCTGAACGCTCCGAAATCTGTACAACCAGAATCGCCGAACATCTTATTGCCATATCGGAGAAATACTACCCCAAGCAGATTAGAGTCACACACGACTCCTATTAAAACTCCTGTTGGTACTTCAAAGAATAGAACCGCGATGGAGATTGTTGCTTCAGACACTGTACATGTATATTGCACGGAGGACACGCCTGCAGATATCTCCCCAGTAGGATCTCAATCCAATCTGTCTGCCCTCTCAATGCCAAGTGTACAGGAAGATATAGAAAAAATGGGGTGCGAGCAAGACAAATCAGTCGAGATTGATTGCCACAGAAATGACTTATTCGACGAAAATTCCAATCTTTCGGGTGAAGATGAAAAAATATTGGATGAATGCATTCAATCGGGTATACCTAAGGTATTAATTAATGATTGTGTATTTGCTCATTTTCATACTTTTTTACTTAAAAACTTAAAATTAAGGAATTAAAACTCCTTAATCAGTCTCTTGAAAAGTAGATCTGCTTGAAAACATCTTTACGTTAAAAATATAATAATTAAAAAAATATGCATATGTATGTGCAGTTTATATGGTAACAGATATAAAAATTACATTGTTGAAGTCTATTTTATTTTTATTTTTATAGGCGAGGCAAATAACTCCACCTCCAAATGGCATTCTGTTTGTCAAAAAATCTGAAACACTATCGCATAAGTTTAACATATGTGGTACACCGTCGTCTTCTCCCGTTGAGACAAGTCATGGAAACAAAAGTTCCATATTGAGTCCTAAGTCACCGGGTAGCGCGTCATTGAGACATCTGGATGAATTTTCAGACGACAGCGTGAATCATTCAGACGACGATGCAATTTTGACGGAGTGTATACAATCTGCGATGCCAAAGGTTATTACTTTAGGGCTGAAAATTAATATTTGCATCCGTTTATACAGGATGTTCTACATACAGCAATTAACTACTGATTATATTTTTTATCGGGCGATTTATTTTTTTCAGGCAAGATTTAGCTTATCGCCGTCAATTAGATCGCCGTTAGGACAAACTGCGGAAAATCCTACGACGATGAATATGCCGTCCTCCACTTCATCAACATTTTTTCAGCCAAGATATATGGAGCAAAAAAAAGGCACAGCGAAAAAGTGTTTGTCTTTCGAAGACAATGTTGGACTTTCTGAAGAGGAAGAAGATATCATGTTAGCACAATGTATTAGGTCTGGTATGCCAAAAGTAAGTTCTGTACGAAGAATGAACATAATAAAAATTACAATAACAAATACTTCTGCTTCACACTTCACACTATTCTTTATTATAAATTTCTTTAGATTAAATAATGTTCTAATATTTGATGTGTATGCAATAATAATAAAAATTAATATGATAATATAAATTAATTTTCAGAAACTAAATTCCATGCTATGTGCAACAATGTCATCTACAGCCAAAAAATCGGAGCCATCTCTGAAAGCTGCAGACAATTTTTCCATCCCTTCGGCTTCTTACTTTGCGAACAAGTCCCATTCTCCCAGAAATACCGCGCTGTACTCACCATTGTACAAATCTGCGAGTATCAACACAACGGATGCACGTCTCGTCAGAAACGTATCCGGCAATTTTAACTACTTCCCCGGGAAAGCAACAAGCAGTAGTACAGCACAGACCTCTGGTGAGACATTAAAAAATTGTGATAACGGTACGCGCGAGAGGATAAACAATTCGCCGCATTGTGCACGAAGATCGCCGCTTCGTCATACGGAGAGTCAAAACGGTAATTTTGTCGACAATCTGTATATGCGATCTCGCGATATGAAGTGCGTGCCGATTTGCAATAGGATCCAAAACACCGACGGTTATGCGTGTAAAAATCATAACCCGGTGAAATCCAACACGGTGCCTTCGCGCCACAGTTCGGTAAATTCCCTCAGCGAAGAAGGTTCGTTGATTTCCACGGAAGAATGGGCTCTACTGGAGTTGTGCATCACTTCTGGTATGCCCAGAAACAAATGTCATGTTAAGGGAACTAAACCTAATGAAAGTGCAATCTCCAACGGTCATGATGACTGCGATGAGCCGATATCGGAGGACAATTATTCGGTGTGCAGTTACAATTCTTATGTTTGTAAGACATAACATGCGGATATCGCATGTATCATGATAGAGTTTCTTTTTCTTCCTCTATCTGACAATTTGTATATATACATAATACATACTTAAAAAAAGACTGAATATTTTTGTATGTTTATAAAAGATGATTGTATTTAAGATACTTAATTAAAAATCCCTCTATGAATTGATAAACGAAAAGATTTATTATATAGCTCCGATCAGTATTTTGTTTAAAATTATTTAAATTTTAAAATATTAAGAGATCCGCTTTTGCATTTTTTAAATATTTTATTAATAATTTTTGTATGTCTGCATTTTTTCTGCATAAATTAATATTTAGTTTTGACTATTTCGTATTTAAACAGAATTAACTGAATCATTTTTCCATCTCGCATTTTTGAAATAAGTCATTATTTAATTTCGACCGTAATACGTAGAGAGTGATTATTTTAGATATTGTTACCAAATTAATTTATAATAAATTTTTAATTTATAATAAATAATTTTCAATTTATAATGAATTTTTAAAACTTGACCTTATAAGAATCAATGCATGTCATCAAATATTGTAGGTTTCCCGGTTTGCATATCTATCTCGAGTTTATAATTTAAACTAAAGCTATATTTATAAAATCCAAATGTGTAATATTAATGATAAATTACTATTGCAGTTGCGGAAAAAATATGCAGTTAAATCGGAAATTTTAACTCGATTGCTTTTAGATCGATCTCATATAAATTAAAATGTGTCACGACGCGTATGGCATTCTTTAGCGTATCGTATAATTAATAGAGCAAAAATATTTAATATATTCTCAGTAAGACAATATTTTCAGTGATCGCTTTTCAAATTTATGAATTATGGGTATTTTGTGTATCCAATGTGGAAGCGCGGCGTTTCTCGAAAATTACGTATAGAAATCCTCAATCTTTTTTCATATAGACATTAATCATTTTTAAATTACTCATTTATCGCAGGTTTCTCTCAAATTTTCGATTCATATATTCGTATAAGGATATTTAGCATGTTGAAATACTTTTCCTGCGGCGGAAATCGATGGATTCTATTCATTATCAGGGGAAAAATAGCAATATCCAGATGGTCGTATAGTAGTAGTAAGTACTAACATAGTTTTTGCCAACGATTGCGGAGAATGGTCGGTCGAGCGTAAAGTCCGGCCGCCTTTTGACCGCTACCTTGATGCCCTTCGATGACTCGTAATGACTACCTGCACGGCATCATAGTCTATTTTCTGCACGTATAAATGTACGCAATGCACTGCCCGCACGACCGTCTTTCGCAGTGCACCGCGACGTGTCCGTTCGTGAAGTGGTCTTCAGAGGAGTTTTCCAGGTAAAGCTCTCTACGGACATTTACGTGAATTTGGGTGGTCTCGACCTTTTCTGCTTTTGAAAGCTTTTGATCAGCCAATTTTCGACCAATTTGCTCAAGTATGTTAGACATATTTTCAACAGAATATAAAAACTCACAAAACAGTATGCAATAAAAGATAAGTGCGAAAAACTTGGTAATTAAATACAAAATTAATAATTAGGCAATATTAATTAAAAACAGTTAGTCACAAAAATAAATATAGAAAAAAGTAAAATTATGTTCGTGTCAATATATGTTGCAAAAATGACATTTTTTTATTTTTTTATTTTTTTAATAAAGTATATATTTTTGTTGCGGTTAATATTTTGTCATTTTTATTTAATAATTTACATAATGTTTAAAAAGTAGAAGAAAATGGATGTATAATAAATAAAATACATGTACAATAGTAACACTGACATGGAAATTGTTTTATGAACGAGATAAGTAAATAGGACAAAGAAAGTAGAACACGTGCAAACATCGTAAATATTATCAATATTTCTTTTCTGGATTTTTTAGCTAATGAATTTAAATATCTATTCTATAATGTTTTCAAATTAATTTAATTACGATTTTGAAGTTGATAATATTACTCATAAATACTTTTTATTTTTTTTTTTAACAAAAGAGATAAATATAAAATAAATATAAAAATAAATTTTAAATAACTATTTTTAATTTAAAATATTTAAATTTGACAAAAACATCTTTTTATAGCAATAACCCAATTTCAAAAACAATACTTATTCTCTTGGTAACTTTCCTGCCTTAATTAATCTAAACTTTCTTAATTTTATAAAATGAAAATTAGAAGTATTAATAATATTTGCATAAAGTATTTTTTATTTTTTTAAACAACATATTTTTTGCTCATTTTTGTTAAGAGAGAATTAATGCAAAATTCCACAAAAGTCCACAAAATTTGCAGCTCGATAAAAAATGCATATTTTAGACGAATAAAGTTGATTTTTTAAGTAGAGACATCGTAGTAAAAGAAAAGAAAGAAAAAAACATAGTTAACGGCGTCACTAACCCACATTGATATCGGTCCTGAGAGACTCGTATGCGTTTAAATACAGATGCACCCTCGTGCTTTCCACGTCCTTGCCTTCGCATTGAGTGCGGTCGTAAGGGCCGACTGTGACGATAAAACAAAATGGTACTCTGAATTACGATCCATAATCAAGAATTGCCCATCGGTGTCCCGGAACAGCTCCGACCAGGATGAATTGTTGGACATTTTTAGAAGATGCGTGCAGCAGAGAGCCATCGACACCTTGGATACCCTCTTCGACGATGATGTCATTACGATATTCGACGGAGTCGATCTGATACGACTTCGTCCAAACGATGAAAATAATACAGAATATAAGTGAGTTGAATTTTATAATCTATAATTATCCAATTAAAAAGAGAGAGAACAAATAAGCACAGTAGGGAAGCAGATCAAAAATAGAATTCCGTCCGATAAAGGCTAAAGGTATGCGAATCAGGGAGATATTAAGGGGGATTATTTAAAGGAGTTGGAATTTCATCGAAGCTTGTTGCAATAAGATTGTAATTTGTTATATTAGAATTCGTTGAATTTCGGAAGAATGCATTATCTACCGCGCGCTCGAAGCTCAGCCGCCCTGTATACTCAAACCTTCCAATTATTTTTCATAATACCTATTGGAAAAATATAAAAAGAAAGAGGAGCGTTTATTATGTGTCTCCGACAAGCTTTTGCTTTATCGAAATTATGTAAGATATACAATGGATATTATACATTTTAAGTGTCCGTATAAATAAGGGTTTGAAATAACTATGTGCCGAGCGACAGGAAATATTGCGTATGGTTTTGTATACAATTAACTGATAGTGTCAATGCACAGATGCAATTGCGGTTAAAAATTCACGTATTTTTTTATAGCTGATTTTATGAAACAGATTATAAAGAAAAATGTTAAATCAATATGTATGTACGATTATTGTTATTGTTTATCCACGAAATTGATAGTATTACGTTTAATTTAGCATATCGTTGTTGCAAGCCCTTTGAGTAAAATTATATTTGCGATTAAAACACGCGCAGCGATTCTCGACAGAGACAATTTTGCCGATGGGTTGGGGGAGGAGGACACCAGCTGGTCGGCGATCATCTGGAATCGAATGACACGCGTCCTGCGGACTCACGCTTTCAAAATTGACGTCGATCGTATATTTAACACAGCTGCCAACAATCCGCTATCTGCGCGAAATCCAGACAATGATATCGTTCAAGGTGAGTCATCGTAACGCGAATTACATTGCAGCACACAACTGTGAGACATAAAGAGACTTTAACTTGGTAAATTTGCGTTCCATAGGTCGAAAACGCCGTTACCGCCGTAAGAATTACATGTTCCCGTTGATGATGATGGGTCTGCTATTGATGGGTTCGATTCTAGTGCCGATGGGTTTTCAATTTCTCGCGGTGCTGGGCGGTAAGGCTCTGATCCTCGCCAAAATGGCCCTTATACTGTCCAGCATCCAGGGTCTGAAAAAGATAGCCACTAGTGGCGTCGGATATGGGTTATATCACGTCCACGACAGGAGTCATCAGGTGCTCCCCAACGAGGAAGAACATTATCCGATATATGGTCCTCCGCGTCCTTAGTATCCAATTCGCCAAGCGAAAACGCGTTTCAAGTACAAGTCATTCGAGAAAGTTTCAACGCCACGCGCATTGTACTTTCGTCGATAATATAGAGGCTAAAACGAGAAAGCGTAATCGGAATTACTTCCTGAAATTGCATTATTCATGGCGATGCTCTTGAATTTTATCAATAATAACATACAGCGATTTGCTCTATTTTTTTTTTTTTTTTCCGAGACATTTAATCAATCGCCGCACATTTGCATTTCGCCGCAAGCTGTTTGATTATGCAAAGTGTTCTACAATCTTCACTTGGCGCTATACGCTACTTATCGCACAGCGTATAATAGAAAAGCGGGTTTATCATACAGGCGTATAATAGAAGAGCATGCTTGAGTTCGCCGTCGAACTTGGAAAAACTTTTTCGGTCTAAAGCATTTTGCTCTTCCACAAACGTTTCTTTTAGTATATATGAATCTCAATAAACTTAATTTTTATAGATTTAATAACTGTTACCAATTGTACAAATGACGTGCAAAGAATCGATATTTGAAAGTATATTTACAACTTTGCAGATTTTTAGGTCGCCGGCACCCACATGTTGATTTATCTGCCGCGGTAGAATTGCAAATCGGCAATTGTATTACTGATAGACTCATAAATAGACTGTATTATTATTTGCAGTTTGTTTCCATTCTCGTGACCGTCGTTTAATCGTAAACATGAGAATTCAGTCGCGCGTTCTGTTCCGAATGCGCGAGTCTCGTCGAGGATACAGTCTGTCATATTAGAATGTCGTTTGCACATCTGATTGTGAAAGGAAAAGATAATTATTTTTAATATACGTGTACGCATGCACGCATGCACGGTCACTTAAAGTATCCTGTCCGAGTCCTGTGCGTATGCATGTTTTAAAATAATAATTCTTTTTCGTATTTATACGGATGACGTTCATAAGTACAAATATCGCAATGTAGTAATCACAATAATAATAATATTAATAATATGACATTGTTCCGATGCACGAGTTCTCTTGTAAAATGCTATGTTGTACTTTTAATAGTTATATAAATTGTATGTATGTTGAAAATCGGCATTCGTGTTATGATCCACCGCAATTTTGATGGATTATAACAGGCAACAATTGCGGTTGTCGCGGTTATTTATTCACGAGTTTCGTCGAGATACGTCGCATTTAACTTCTATAGAAAAGCATGCTTACACAATCTCCATCATTTACATCTAAATAGATACCGTCAAGCAAAGCGATTTTGACGTCTATATAGATTATCTTGGTTCTACCGTGTATAGAAAAACCGAGATCTGTATTGAGACATTGACCGATATTTGCTTCTGTATTAATTTCTGTATTTAAACGTATAGAGAATAGGATTACACGTTAATAAACGAGCGATTATCAGTCAGTATCCTTGATCAATGCTTATTTCTGTGATTGTATAAAATAATATAATTACTATAAAAATTTAACGGGGTTTATTTCCAAATTATATATTTCTTCTGAATTTTACTGGTTTGAACATTTATCTGCCAAACATGACTAGTGGTCTGTTATATATTATATAAAGATTGCATTTACATATGCATATTTATAATCAAGATCGCTATGAATAAATGTTCATGCAACACAATATTTTCACGGTGCGTGATTACAGCTATAATATTTGCGGCGTATACTTATTTAAAATATTAGTTTCGATCTTTTCTTCGAGCCTTAGATCCTCATCAATCAAATGTTGATCATACGTTCAATTATAACGGTTTTCATCACGGACCTCGTTCGCGTTCAATTACATTCCTAGCTCGAGCGTAAAGAAAACGTAATAATACACCTTCTCTTGGTGTTTTCGTTACGGGGAAAATCATTTGTAAAGCTTAGGACATTGCCTTGGGCCACGGGCGACGACTCCTCGCCGCCGTCATCGATCTCGATTATGGCTTTGAGATTAAAGCTGGATGGGATAACGTCGCGTCGGAACAAAAGATATATGTACACATATATGTATATACAACATATATATATATATATATATATATATATATATATATAGCTATGATAAAGTGCACTAATTGAGCGATCGTTTAATGTCCATTTTGCTGACAGGATGACGCGCGCGTCCTGTATTCCTGTCGGTCAACGTCGCGCTGCGAACGTATACTCTGACATATGCACGCTGCACACACGTGTGCACTCATGATGACGAACATCGTTGTAAACATTAATATCGAAGAACATTTAAAATGCCAACCCGTTCTCTCCCCGACGATACAATATACATATATTGACGCGAAAATTGATGCGATGGTCATTTTTGCATCTGCAAAAGAATCTGTCGATAATTTCTGTCCTCTTTGGCATTCGCTTGCGATAGATACATACAAAGCTCACATCAAAGTCTACACATCATGAATTTATAACACGTATAATCAACAAATAGCAAATGCGAATTTGTTGAGATAAAAAAGAAGAGAGAAAAAGTTTGTGTGCGTCTTGAATTGTTAATTTATTAGATATATTTATTATTGTATTTAAATTTCTTATCAAATCTTCTCTATCATACGTATAACTGATCAAAGAATAAAAAAATCTTCCTCCTAAAACCTAAAGATGATCTAAACTTTGAAAAAAAAAATCAAAACACTTGTGACCAAACTATTGAATTTGTGAAGAAGAGATATTTTTCAGGTAAAATTTTAAAGACATAAATATAAGAGCGTAAATGTTTTAAGTAAGAGAAATATCATCAATTTTTTGAAAATTACTTTTAATTTAAAAACATCATATGTATAAAAAAAACGAAAATGTTTGAATGAGATACCTTTGTCTCCCTAGATTGAGACAAAGCATCCCGTCTCCAAATTCACTGTGCAGAGTTGTGCCGTAGCGCGTAACAATAAGGCTCGGGGGTTGCGCGCAGCCAGGACGAAGCGAGGAGGCTGTGCGAGGTACGCCGGACTAGCCGCTATAAGAGGGACGCCGTGCGTCGCGACGCCATCAGAACACCTGCCGCGCTTGGCCCGAGCTCGCCGCAACCCCCACGATCTCTTGCGCCGCCAGTTCAATTTCTCCATAGCAATCGAAAGGCGAGATAGAGACCGATCCAGCCGCGCGAGGGAGAAGCTCCAGTTCTTACTCGGCTCGCCGCGCGTTGTCGCCTCTTTCTGTTTCTTCCCGATTTCGTCGTCAGTGAAAAATGTTTTCCAAGTCAATTTCAACGTCGATTCTTCTGATCATCATCATCACCGTCGTCGGCGCAACATTTCACGTTGCGAAAGCAGCGATCGGCAATGATCATCGCCAACAACAGGTAAATGCATCGCTTGAATACATTTACTTGTAGATCAAAATATGTATGAAGAAACTTGTTAACTGTACAATACGTAATACGTAATAAAACGTACATTGTCAAAAAGACACACCGTAATCTTTTTTTTAATAAAAGAGGTATAAATGAAACTTTTTTTTTATAATACTTTATTAGATAGCACTTTTTAAAATTTAAAAATTTTATGACAATTACTATTCATTGTCGAAAAACATTTTAATATTATCTTTATTTCTGCGTGCCACCAAACATGTACATAATTATTCATCTCGATTATTAGATACTATATTTCATAATTTTCATGGTTTTCATTATGTGCCTGTCAGATTAATTCTTGAATGAATCATGATGATAATGAACCATAATGATGATAGAATTAAAGATAATTAACAAAGACAACTGTAATTAGAATAAATGTGACATTGGAATATTATACTTAATGAGAATAAGCTGCGATCGTTTTAAAATTATTAATATAATTCTTATTTATGTATACGTATCGCGAAGGATCAAAAAGTGATGGATTAAATAAAATAAATATAATCTATCTAATTTATTAAAGTGTATCACAATTATCTTAATTAAAAAGTTTATTTAAAAATTTATATATATTAATATGGTATCTGAAAATCTCTAAATACATACAATTTTTAATTTAATTATTTTTCATTTTTATTTATTCTTTTTTTCTTAAAAATAATTTATTTAAGAAAATAATTCATTTAAGAATCATTTTAGCGTAACAAACTCAATGAAAATAAAATTACTTTTACAGGAGACTACGCTATATTATAAAGTTATCGTAGGTTTCTTCCGCAATTAAAAAGCTCTTTCTTAAGGAAATTAATTGATTAATTGACTTAGATATTTTCTATACTTTTTTTATTAGTATTTGATCAATGATCGACTCAAATGTTTAATGATAGTTTCGAAAATATGTTTAATACACGATTGCATGTGTATTTATCAATGTAATAAACTTTAATAAAATTAAAGAATTTAATTATGTGTGTTAAAAAAAATAATTGAAGAAATAATTATCTCATTGTACAAAAAAATATGATTTAATTAGAATACGAGAGATTCAAATTAAAAATTGATATATGAATTGCATTAGAAAGTAAATTAAAGGATAAAAAGTAGAAACAGAGTTTCGAGAACTTAAGAGCATTAGAAACTTTTAAATTGTACTACAAGTGACATCATTTGCTAACTTATAATGAGTTTTGATTCTCTATCTACAACTAAGTCACTTTTAGCTAGTTAAGGTTTGGACTTCTTTCATTACTTTTATAAAGAGACAGAAATAAATAAGCAACATCAAGTTGTCACCACATCAAAGACGAACACTTAATTAGTCAAGTTTCCCGCAGTGTTTTATAGATAAAGCAATATCTCTTGCAAATTTTTATTAGAATTTTTATAGAAAACAGGTCGCACGAGCGAGAAAATTTTTTAATCTACATTTTTTTACTATTCGACATTTAATTTCTCGACAAAATGTATATAGATCTTAATATCTGTACTTATATTAATGTTGACTAAAAATAGGAATGAGAAAATGAAATTGAATTTATCGTAATCTAACGTGCATGACGCTTTATCTTATATAGCGATATCCATTGCTTAATTGTGGATTCAAAAAGAGTTAAAAGGAACAAACGCGAAAACTCTGAACTATCCTGTATTACTATTACCGCGGGGACCTCGCGTGTCACATTAACGTTATGCTATAATTACCTTACGTGCCGCGATCGGCAAACGCGCCCGTATTGCGACTCGCACCAGGACCATCATTCAAGACACGAGACTTCGGCAATTATTCCCGAGACAGGTTTATCTGGCAGGTGGGGATGCGGTTTTCGTAGCGGCTCCCACATCCGCTAGCGACAGTCGAGAAATAATGTTAATTGAATAACGGATTTTTCATTTCGTATATACGTACGCCAAGCTGTGTACGCGGTGAAAAATATAATGCATAACTTTTACCCCAGCGCTTTTTAACCGGATTTTGCATCTCCGATCATAACATAAATCAGCGTAGTTCAGATTCTCGGAATTATTTTTTATAGCACGATAATCAACGCAATTCCGTGATACTTCTGCAGGAAATTTAACAAATATGCGAATGCAAAATTAACAGAAACGGAATAGCATTGATAAATACATTGAAACAAGATTCTTTATGGATAAAATACGATTTCCGTTTTGCTATTTCAAGTATTTACGCACGCTTAGTGCATTTAATTGAGCAGATATTTATTTGCCCTTTTGAAAACAAATAGCGTTACCTAATGTACGCGCGTATCGTGTCTGCACGCTTTGTGTGTTTGTTGATAATTGCATCATTTGGATCAAATCAAAGTTTATTATTACGATCAAAGTAATTACGCAATTATTATTCATCAAAGATAGCGCGAGATTCCATCTCAGACAATAAAAGCACATGATCGATTGCACAGTGAAATATAAAAGTACATAAACTTGTTTGAATGCTTAATACGAAGAAGGGAGGCAAAGAAAGCGCATATAGATTGGTCTTGGGCGAACTCTTCAACCGTTATATTACATGAAATTTGATGCATATTGAGCTGCCAAAGGGAAAATACCAAGTTTTCTCAATAGACGATAAACCGTTCATTCTCGATATACATATAAATAGATGGTTTATACGATAAAATGCGTTTAATATAACTGAAATCACTTTTTACAACAGTTATAATTTATACACGCATTTTTAAAGAATATTTTCAATTGAAGCGCAGTTGCTAAATTAAAATTGTTAGATATTTCTGCGTACGCAGAAATATCAGCAGCGAATGATTTTATATCATCTGTTATGTATACTATATATATATTTACATTACAAATAAAATATATTCTATACGCAAACGTGTGGAATGCATGAGATCAAAGTTGCGTGTATCGCGAACTAAGCTTAATTTGACCAATTTTCCTGCGTTGTATATATTACTAATTATTATTAATAATATCGATGTATCATTTAAATATGACTCGTCAGTTCCTTCTGCAACTTTTGTATTTTATTCGTGTCACCTTTTATTTCCAATGCATATCAAACGAACGCGCATTATAAATACGTGATGGTAGTCATTTAACGTGGAGACGTACTTCGCAAATGTCGCCGGGTTATCTTTCGTGTCATTAAATCATGAATTTCCTAAATTTTCAACGATCGTTTATACGCGTTCACGCACGAACGTAAACACGCAAGTTCGTATAAATGACAATCCATTCTTCAATTTCTATGAGATCTCCTCAGCACTTTGTCGGCTGCCTAACATTACGTATACGCGATTTTAAACAGAAATATATTTACATGTTAAATCGATTAACTTAAATAATTTATGTCTGCCCTTGTGTAATGTAACGTACTTCTTTATTTTCAGATAACGAATGAAGCAGTTGCCAATATCTTGGCTTATGAAGCGGGAGGGAAGACTTCATTCGAGGTACCGCGTGAACATTATCGACCGATTACAGGTAAGCAACACGATGTGTTTGTAAATTTATATTATAACATCTGAAAACAGAATAATATTTTAATTAGTAGATTTAGATTTCTTTTTGCGCATTTTATTATTGGGAAATACTTGGAAAAATAATTTTTATTTTATTTTATTTCTATACTGTCCAGAAATAGATCGCATTAAAGTAACTGTTTGGTTAAATCGACTACTTGACATATTACACATCTGCATAACCTTTACATTGTAATTTTACATCATGCCAAGTGTGTTTAAATGAATGTTTGCATTTCCATTATTATCGATGTCTAACAAACGTCGCGCCGCCCGCAGCGCTTGTTCTAGTATAATTGAAACTATAGTAGCAATATTTGTCAGTAGTTTGCCACTAGCAGCTTAAGGACGAAAGTTTGCGGACGGGATAATCTACGGAAGGTGGAAAGAGATTGTGCGGTGTCTATTATAAAAATAAATTTTATATAACTTTGTTCCGTGTTCAAAGAATATAAATGGAACTCGTAAAATTAAACAAAAAACTAAGCGTGGAGGTGATGAATGTAAATCAGCGTGATAATTGATGCGCAAAAGTAAATTAAAACAAATAGATATAATAAAATTACAATTATAATTAAAATTATAATTGTATGAAACGTGCAAATCGTCTAATTATAATTCGCCGTTTTCACGATTATATTTTTTATAATGTGTGAAACCACGTGTAATTTCTTTTTCTGACAATTGCTTGAAAAAAAAAAGTAATTTACCTATGTAGTAACGAAAAAGTAACCATTATATATATTTTCCGATCTTTTCTCATTTTCTATTTTTTATACTTAGTTGGGAATAATACATAAACAATATGCAAATTAACAGCTCGCACAGTTTTTGTATGAAAGTTAAAATAGTTAAATAATATAAAGGTTCAATACATTTCTCAACAGATTTAATCAAAGAATCATTTTTAAAAGACTATATTTAAACAATTCTAGAAATCATTTCCATGATTTCTAGATGATTCAGTTTTTTCTTTAAAAAAAAAATCTGTTCCTGAAATATTTCTTAGTTGGTTATCATATATAACTTTATTTAATAAACTACTTAATTTCCATTTTAATAAACTATCGAATCATGTTAATCCTCTGTAAGGTGCTTAAAAGTGGTTATGCATAATGTGTGATTTAACTGTTTTGATTGCGATAGAAGCGTATCGCACGCTCGTAAGCTTCGCAATTGAAGCGTTTGATACGGTAATTACGTTATCGCACAAAACCACGTTAATGGATGGCCACACAGCTTCTGCAACAGTAACCGAACTAGTACAATTTTCGCACATTGAGTATTACACAACAATCGTGTGATCGCATTCCGAATTGCGTCCGAATGAATTAAAACCAAACGACCGAGAATTTAAATTAGATTTATCTAAACAAAAACATTAAAATTAAACTTTTAATTTAAAGTTAATGACTTCTTATCTTTCGTAGCGTTTTATTAAACAAGGCACGTTCGCGCATTTACTATTTTTTTTGTCGTATCATTTAAATGATAACTATGCAAATATTTGTAACTTTGATAAGTATTCTGAAATATTACATATTCCCATATAGATAATAAGAAAATCTATATACAAAGAAATATACATATATAAAATTGTTCAATTATTTAGATTATTGAAAGATATATTCTTAAATATGTAAAATATAAACATGCTACATGTTAAAAGATTTAAAGTTCTCATTCTTTTTATTTTACGATAATTATTTTGCAAAATGTGCGTATGTATATAGTAGATAACGTTAATATAGAAATTAACAAATATCAGATTGCGAGATAAAAATGGCATGGCAAAAACTTTGTTATACTATTTATGTATAAATTCTTCTATATAATGCGTTAATTTTTAACTTATTGTTAGAATGCTTATTCTGCAGTATCATACACACACTTTTATCATAGATATTTACATTACGGTACCTACTCATGTAGGCGCCTCATTTGAGAAATAACTAGATTAAGTATACCAAGGCAAATAATCGGTCCATAGACCTCGATTCGATATCTATAGACATCGAATTGAGGTCTATGGACCGATCATTTCTGCCTGGGTAAATGATGAATTTCTAGCACTGTCGGGTTTGACGCGTTTACAATTGAATTTATCCAACTGCAAAAGTATTTGTCGCCAATGTTCAAAAGTTCATATCCTAGTGAGGGCCTGAGGATCAAAAATTATGTTTCCGGCAAAGAAAGATTATTATAAATTATAACGCGTCAAATGACGCGCGCGTCAAATGACGCGCCTATATGAATAGGTACCTTTAGAAAACGTTTACAGAAATCGATGATTAGAATTTAATTGCTGTTGCTCTATTGCAGACTGTATGTTTGTTACCTCAGAAAGCGGACCGTTCTCTTATATATCGCCAACCGATGATGACACCGTTTGTGGAATATATTTTTTAACTGATCCCGATCGCGTAGTGGAAATACATTTCTATAGCTTCGACGTTCCCTGTGATCATCGTGGACTTCTGGCAGTAAGTAATCATTAATTATTACTAAGAATGTCAATTTTTTAATCCAAATACTTATTATTACCTGCTTCCAAAATTAAAAATACTTGATTTATCACACATTTTAGTAATATTTTAGTTCATAATTATTTCATAATAAAAATACAATTTTAATTACTGCTTTGCAATAGCAATCGAAAGGGAACAGTAACAAATAAAAGTAGCAAATTAAAATGATTCCTAATGAATTATGAAATAAGATACATTTCCTGTAAGGTAAGAAACTTATTTCAGAAGATTATTTTAGAGCATTAATCACAAAATATACTGGAATTGATTAATTAAACAAATTTTTATGTTTAAGAAATATTTGCAAAATGTTAACAAGGAACAATATAGCATATTTGAACTAAGAAAATGTTTGGCATTACGGACAAAATGTAGCAAAAAGAAGTTATTAATTAATTACAAAAGTTGTAAAATTTTTGTCAATTTTTGTCAATGTCATGAATTAAATAGTCTTGAATCTTTCTGAGAAAGTCAAAACGGAATATACATTAATGCCGTGAAACGTAGATTATATCTCTACCGCGAAATTACAGGCTGTTTACGCTTGTCTTGTGATAACAATAAAATCCTGAAAGCCATTTAAGAGAAACAACGACGTCAACGACGTCATAAATGAATTGTTACAGGACACGTGCCAATTTTACTAGGACAAAAATCGAATCGCAAACTCCCTTCCATTCCTCCCCGACCCTTATTCGTTCCCCCTGTTGCTATTAATGGAAAACTCCTGTAGAGTAAATCCGGATAATCCTACAATAGCAGTGTATGTCATGTGCCGCGAATGCACAGAAGTCAATACTGCGAGAAGAAAGCTTTTAACAGCATAAAAAGCGAATTTTGTTCGCCGCCTCTTCACAAAATAATTTTGCAACATAGAATTGTAACTTAAACTCAACATGTAATTGTAACTTAAACTCTGTGATGAATTATTTATCAATTTCTTTTTTTTCTATAATTTGGACCATATTTCTTATTGGTGCATCATGCAACATCTCGCAAATGTCACTTTAAAAAAATATCTATATACAATACATAACAAATTTCCATCTAAAATATAACTATATAAGATTTCTATTTAAATTAAAATTGTAATATATGCACTTTCCAAAATTTTAATATTTAACTTTTAATACATTTTATAAAGATTCAGATTATTTATAAAAAAGTTTATATGTGTTTTTATAATATTTACAAATATTTACAGAAAAGAGAAAATAGAGAAATAGAAAAAAAAAGAGAAACTTAATCATAGCTTTATTTAAAAATCTTATATTGTAATATATACGTAAAACACAAACTGGTAAATCGAAGATGTGCTTTTACTTGAACTATTAATAACATTTTATAATGAGGAGGCGTAAATCTTAAATTAATCGTTATTTAAAAGGTAATCGACGGCTGGGAATTGAACGGCGAAATATTTCCGAGCGAGAGCGATCATTCATTATCGATGAAGGAGAGAACGAACGAGTTCTGCGGTAAGAACAGATGGTACAGGAGGACTTTTACGAGTTCGCAGAACGCTGCACTTCTCCAATATAGAGTACCTCTACGCGGAAAGGGCTTTGTCGTGTCCGCGAAATATCCAAAAAATCCAAGACGTAAGTATTATTGCTCGAGCATTATGATACGAATTCTTGAAAAAAAAGCTTAACTTAGAATCGCAATTTTATACAAATGTTAGAGAGATATAAGTCTCTATAATAGAATACAATCTACAGTTTTATTATATTTTTTAAAAATAAAGAATGAGAGAAATATCTTCATTAAAATGATAGAATTAAACAACAATTCCATTATACGAGATGTCACTTTTATGTTCAGATGTTTTATTCGGATTATATATTTATATATGTATATAACTTTCTGCAATTAACGAAAGCTGGATGTATCATTGGAATAGTAAACAATGGAAAATCGATGCTACCTGTTTTACATGAAATGCCCGTAATTAACATTGCAAATTCGCGGCTCTATTCAGTGTTTTAAACTTATTACATGGTACGGACTTTACGCTGTTCTAAGCTTGAATCAATGTTCTAAACTAAACCTAGACCTACATTAGGTTCAGTCCTATAGATTTTGATTAGCCATTTCATCCATACGGCAGAATACAATGGCCCAGATGCTCGTAAATTAGAACATACGTTAGGTCTGAAACCTTAAGAGAGTAATTCTAACAACCGAGATGTGTCATACTTCCTTTTTAAAACAAAAATAGAGCAGAATGGCACAGGAAAATATTGCACGGTTTAATAAGTCCTATTTTTTTTATGAATCGAATAAAATTTATGTTCACAAACAAACATTTAGTAAGCAAACAGTGACTGTAGTGTGAAAAATTAATACATCGATAAGAACAGGAGTATTATATATTGATCGCTTAAATAATAAATACAAGCTACTTCCAGCTGATTCTGTATAAAGCGATCTAACAAGAAAAGTAACGCATTCTAGATTTTTCGTATTTTTTCAGCTTGTAACGTCTTGTCGGTCAGCACGACGGATCCATTCACGCTTCGTAATTATGGCAGACGAATTAATTGCACCCTCGTAGCAGTATATCCCGGTGCCGTACGAATAATTGCTCTCGGAATCGGCGGCAGCAGCTCGCATGGTATCGTTCGCACAACCGAAACCGGCACTTTACGCAAAGTACGTTAATAAAATGTAAAATCTCCTTCTTCAGACGCGATCTGTATTCGTTTACTCTCTCTCTCTCTCTTACGCCTTTAATGTTTCATCTCTGACATGTAAGTATTGTAGCAGAATTAAGGCAGATTATGTGTCACTGGCACGATTTTTTATTTATTTATATTATACCAAAAATTGAATTTAATAATAATCAATATCAATCACAATGGTCACTATTTGAAATTAACAATTCTTATCTGCTTTTTATTTAAAACAAACTTTTAAAAATGTGTGTTTATAAAAAGCTTTTCCAACTCAAAAAAAAAAAATATATATATATATATATATATATATATATATATATATGAGGACAAACTTTTTCTACAAAAGTTAAACTCTTTCATATATTTGCAAAAACTTTTACACGCTTTTTTACAGTGGCTGCTTCTTTTACAATATTTATTGCGATCGATTTATTTTCAGTGCGATGCAAGGAGTCCGCGGGATAAAGTGCAGATCGGAGGTAGCCGCGGTCTCGATACGACGAAACTCGACATAATTGACTCCATTTGCGGCATTGATTCCAAACCCGGTAATGAATCTTTTATACACAGAATCAATTACGGTATTGAAAGCGCTGGAGTAGATAGACATTAATTTCATACATTCATATCGTTATTTATGTATATGATTTATATATGATCGAATATTTTGCCTTACAATTAAAAGCTAACTTTGGCTTTTTTAGATGTAAAGGAGCTCGTAGCGTATGAAATAACAGCGGTACGTCTATTATCAAGCGGCTACTATGATAACTCGGTGACGGTGGCAATAAGTCCAATTGTAGACGACAGTCTATTGGATTCCGCTTCCGGTCTTTAAGACGACTGCTTCGAACAGTCTCGTCATCGTCCGCCGCACTCGCTATACGCATCTATTCTCGACGTTTATCTTCGAACATGCGGACGCAATGCCCAACATCGGGTTGTGTAAAACATATTAGCGTATCCCTCCGATAGTTTGCAGATTATTTATGTATTTGTGTTACATATGCTAAGACAGCATAGAATATCGCATATATAGTATAACAGTATATGTGAGTGAAAGAAGATGAATTTTATCAAAGACTGATTATTATTTTCTAATTCTTCTCTTCTCGTATTCTTCTACTTCATCAATTATTATTCCATTTCGTACGTGATATTTTCTCGTAATAATTACTTTATGACAAAATTAATATAGTAGATAATTTATTTTATTGCTATATATTTATAATGAATTCATAATTATCATTAAGTATTAATTTTTAAACAATAATTTAATATAATAGTATTATTAAATTAAAGGTGCTCTATCCGCACATGCAATTCTTTTTATAGAGATACAGATATTCAGTACATTTTATTTTATATTAAATCATAAAATGTTTTTAAAATGGAGCATTTTACTTTTTTTAACACAAATTATAATTTCTACATTAATATCACATAATATTAAAGTTATCACTGCTTTATTTATGGCTAAAATGAATGTTTTAAGTGAAATGTGAAACGGTAGACAGCTAGCTTAATATATATACATATATTTGTATTTATTTAAGTTAAAAATAAACAGTCGAAGGTAGATATTTATCCTTTTTAATGGGCATTCTTAACCATTTACTGGTTAAGAATGATAATATTACGTATGACAGTATATAGCTTTAGAAAAATAAATTTATGTTAATTGTATTAATTTACCAATTGAAATTATAAATATATTTAACGTATGTAAAAAAATAAATATTGTAAAGATGTCTAATTAAATTAATCTGACATTAATTATAATCTAAAAACATTAAGTTTCAAATATTTAATTCTTATCAACATCATTATATCTGTACATACATACATACATACAGAAATAAATACGACGATTCGATCTAAAGGCGTCTAATTTCGGCCGTGACAACAGGAATGGCGTCTAACCTAACATACCGTTTCGATGATACGGATGACAAACACCAGAGTAGCGCCCCGAAGTAGTTTATTTATCCATCACACAGCATATTCACACTTTAGACTGCATTCGAAAACGTCATCCGAGTGCTCCTGTACATCATTTTATCATTCTTGTTTACCGAATGTTGACAAAGGATAAAATGATACACGGAGCCCACGGAGACGAAGGCGGAAGGCAACTCCGAACGCAACTCGATGTCGACGTGTTCGATATATAGAGTTCGATAATCAGAGATGCGATCATTTCACAATCGATATGACGAATATCGAAAGCCGCCATTTTCTTTCCCTGCCAAAAGAGGAAGGAGGAAGGTTAAGTTGTCGGGAAAAAAAGCACAAGTATTTCCTAAATAAATATCGTAAATAATTTATAACTTTTCTCGTTTCCGGTACAAAACATTACAAAATTTGCATAAAGGGACGTTGATAAAGGACGTAATGAATCTGGACAATAGCCATATTATAAGCCAATCAAAGAGCGTACTCGAGTGCTCGAGTGCAGTGTGAATCCTGCATAAAAGTAAAATGTTCCAAACGACGATCAGACACCGATTATTCGAGATTCGAGACAGAAAGAGCGGAACATGGCGACGTGGTGTGGCGCAAGTTGTTTTTGATTTCATCGTGTTTACAAAGGATCGGAGTTCGTACGAGCAAAGCTCCAACTTTACCGTGCTGAGTAATTGAGGCAACACCCGGCAACACGTGACAACGTCAGAAATATGAATTACAATCACTCGAACGCACGCCGAGGTGAGCGCGTAACCTACGAATCGCAGATGCAAACTTACTCTCGCGTTTTCCGCGTATTTATCATCGCCGATATCCGACGTTCTTCCTTATATCTATTCCTACAATGCTCCTAGAGACAACGTAGTGTCAAATTGATGATCGCATGGATTATTCCCACGAGTAATGACAGTCGTGTAATAGCGGCTTATTCTAATAAATCTGTTCTTTGTATCTGCACTGTATTATATTTTCTGCACTTATAAAAAAAACAGTTATAGACATAAATTAAACGTGAAAAGAAAGGAGGAAAGAACCAATAGTTTAACTGCAAATAACACGAGAATATCTACTTGAAAAGAAGCATATGAATAAGATTATTAATTTTGTTATCGTCCAGTCTAACATGATTACAAGAATGTTAACTTTATTATTATTGTCACCTAGAAAGAGAGCATAATACTAATTTTATTGTTATTTTCTTACATAAAGATGAATTGTTTATCGATAGGAAAACCAAAGAGGTTGTTGGATCCTTCGACTGGTTTATCTGCACCAACTCCTCCAATGGCACAGAATCCGTATATGTATAATCAACAGGTAAATTTTATAAAATATATATTATAGTTTTACCTACAGCATTTGTATATAGGACAAATTACTATAAACAAAATTGCTATTCTACTAGCAAAAGTTTGCATCAGCATTGATTTATATTTTTATACATTTATCATATCTCACGGAATTCATGTTAGAATGCATGATCAGATTTTTAATCGATATATTGTCAACTTAATCTTAGGTGCCTGTGAATAATGGTGCGATGCCAGAATATGGCTTCAACGTTTCTGGACAGGGACCACCTTCGTATGGATTCAATCCACAGATGTCAAATTATCCATCCAGCGATAATCAAGGAGCGGAGTTTGCGAGTCCACAATTTGCGACGCAATTCTTGGCTCAGCCAGTTGTTACAGACATGGCTATGCAGTATGGAAATGCATTGGTTGGTACTGGAAAACAGCATCTCGAAAAATATGTGCCAATTACAGCATTAAAATATTACTTTGCGGTGAACACCGATTACGTCTTTGCGAAATTAATGCTGCTGTTCTTCCCATTTACGCATAAGGTAAGTTTCATTGTATTAGCGGTCATTATTTAAAGAAAGAGATAAATATATCACGTAACTCAATTTTATTATCATTTTTGTTTTGAAAATAAATTTGTAAAGAAAAGTGAAGAGTCAAAATAAGTGTCTTTCAATCGACTGATGTATCGAATGCGCAATAAAAATTCAATAACTTCTTTTTATAGGACTGGTCTGTAAAATACGAACAAGATGTACCATTGCAACCACGATACGAAACTAACGCACCAGATATGTATATTCCTACAATGGCGTTTTTCACATATGTCGCTAGCGCAGGATTAGTGTTAGGCGTGCAGGGACGTTTCACTCACGAACAATTAGGTATACTAGCCAGCTCCGCGCTTGCTTGGGGCTTGATCGAATTGCTCGTTCATATGGTGAGTTTGTACGTGATGAATCTCCAAACGAGTCTGGCGACGTTAGACTTGTTGGCATATTGCGGTTACAAATACGTCGGAATCAATGCGGCACTGTTGATATCGTTGCTATTTCGGAAGTTTGGCTACTACGTGATGCTATTATACTTCAGTGCTTCTCTAGCTGTCTTTCTGATGCGATCGTTAAAATTAAGAGTCATTCCACAAGGCCATTCGTACACAGCCTCTGGTAATAAAAGGCGGCTTTACTTTATATTGTCTTTGGCTGGTATGCAGCCTGTTCTAATGTGGTGGTTGTCGTACCATCTGATTTAAAGAGAAAAAAAAATGCAATAAGCTTATAAAAACAGCGAAAAGGAAGCGAGAGATGAAAGGGAAAAGTGTATATTTATTATTTGGTTACTAATATCACATGTACATTTTTTGTAATAAAAAATCCAACACGATTATATTATCACTTAGCTATATAATGCGTCTCTATTAGATAACATTTTTTTTCTGTAATGGATTTTGAAGACGTTAATGAATTTTATATATGTATATACATATATATTATGCCTTGAAATAAATTTTTTTTATCAGAGTGGTATTTTTTAAGAATTTGTAAGACTAATTAATTGGTCTTATCGCTTATCTATTCACACGCGGTCCTATTTCGACTGTGCAGCGTCGGTAATTTTTAGTCAGAACCAAGAATCGATATTATACCTCATCTTGAACTTGTGAGATGTCGCGACACGTTCCTCAATGATTGTAGCAATTCTTTCCGACTGATCGCGTACCCGGACCAGGACGGCACGGGCAGGCGTGGCGCTACGTGTTCGAGTCCGGAGTCGTCAGCGAGAGGAGGCCTCGTCCCGACCCCGACCCTCCCGTGTCGAGCCGCGCTCGCTGCCGCGCTCTTCACGGTCTGACGGTCATTGATAGTCGTCTGCGAGCCGCGAGACGCGGTGAAACGTAGGCGTTGCGTGTGTCTCGTGGGCCGCCAGGGCCAAAAATGGCGGAACGGACAAAGGTGACAGCCCCAGCCACCCGGCCCGTTCCCATGAAGCTGTTTGCCACCTGGGAAGTGGATCGCACCCCTCCGAATTGCATACCCAGGTAACGGATAGCACATTTCGCAATGATTACCATCCCGGCGTTGTTCGACCTGCGACGCGGCGCGGTTCGCCTAACATTCCTCGACGTTGATGGTGGTCACGCCGAGTGACGAGTTCCTCCGACTGACTGGCCGACGAACGTCTGCACGCCCTTTTTTGTGGGACCATCTCCCGCTTGGGTCACTCGGGACTGTCCATTCCGGGATACTTGTATTTACAGGTTCGCGATTTACGAGACGGACGGACACGTTGCGTCCTTCTTCGCAGTTGAGTCATTGTCGTATGACATGCGTCGCATCCACTTGTGACTCCGAAACGATTGCAACTGTCAACAGTATCTGACAGATCTGCGTCGTATTTATGAATGAGAAAAGGCTCGTCTTTCGCAATCATCGATGTTTTTCGTCGTCACTATTTATTCTATTTTTCACGATACTCTTAAAAGGAACGATAGTAGATCGATATTTAGTATTAATCTTTCGATGCTGACACGAATGACACTTCTCGAAAAAGTGTCAGTAAGAAAAGTTAATACTCCAAACAAATTATTCCTGTTCTTTTTGTGAATATTGTTAAAATTAACAGATGCTGATGCAATATTCATCTGGATTCATTATCAGGGAACATTAACTATATGCATATACGTATATATAAAACTGTTATGTATATATATAGTATATGAAATATTCTATAAACAAATTTCTTTACAAGATTTGTCAAGTTAAACCGAAATAAAAATATTAATTTAAATTTAATTAGAATTAATATTTTTTAAATCTATATTAAGTTAACGTTCCATTGGGGCGAAACTTTTGTTACAGAAAAAGATGAAAAAGTTTAAAATAAGTAAAAATAATTAATATATTAAAACGAGTTAAATCTCTCGTTAATTAGAATCTCCAAACATGTTAAATTAAAAAAAATATACGGGGTGTACCTTAAATAACGCCCATTAATTATGTAGCGTTATTTCTTGTAAAAAAAACTGATAATGAGTAAAAAATTCTGAACCATTTTTTTCTGTAATGCTCAATTATGCAATCACTACTGCAGTAATTATTGTTTCGTTGAGCATTATACCTAATACAAAATAGTTCTTATAAGTAGTACTCATCAGTCATATAGCGCTATTCCTTATAAAAAATTGATTCAAAAAGTTCTAAGCCATTTTTTTCTACTGTATGTATATATGTATAATCACATATTTTTTTAGAAATCATAAAAAATACAACCAATCTTATATATGATCCTGGTTAAAGCTCTCTAATTGCATCAAGAAATTAATAAATAATTCAAAATGTAGAAATTTGCTGTTTTAAATTCATTTCGTTATTATCTTCTTTTTATGATTTAAATGTCGATCTACTTTATAATAAATTTGTATGTAATTATTCAGTTACATAAATAGTCAAATAAAAAATATAGCAGTCACATTGTATTTCGATTAAGTTATTCTAAGAAATGATGTAAAAGCGTTGTAATGTTTGAAAAGTACGTAGCGAACTACTACTAATTAAACGCCTCGTTAAGGCGATAAGATTATTGAGTTGATCAAAATGAAAATACGGTATTTTTTTAAGCCTGTGAGGTTAGAGAAACGTTATAAATTCTTGTCTAGTTTTGGAATGTCAACTTTAAATGTCCGCACACGAAGTCTCGCGAAACCACAGATGTTCTTTTTCACTATAAATATAACTTTAATCGATTTGGGGGATTGACTGTAAAGTTATATCGTGCCGCGGATATATTTTTACGTACTGCAACTATAAGCGAACTCCCCTTCCGTAGGTATGTGACGAAATATAATTATTGTATTTTTGACTCTCGGAATTATTGCCAAACCGCGATAGCTCTGGCACGTGTTTGGCAAAAGTCAGGCGGTTAATTCGGTATAAATTCGGATGCACGGCAGTCGCGGCTGCGAAATTAACAGTCGCTGGTTACAATGTTGTCGATTTCCAACGAGTTCCTAAAAAAGATTTTCCGAGATGCTTTGGAAATACGTCGCTACGAGCAAAATTCCGTATAAATCTAACGGGTAACGGGGTATATATATAAAATGGCATTCGATATAACTATTTCAAACGCCTGACTCTATACGTTTAAACTTTAAACTTAATGATTCGCTTATCTTCAATCGTGATCGCAGATAGAAATTTAAATATCCCATTACTTGTTCATATAATGAAGAAATTTTGTTATTTTGGATCGATTATTCGAAAGCATTTTTGTCAGGAAAAATTTTTTTCCTCTATTATTTGAAATAATCGATACATGTAGTGGTAGCGGTGACCATAATGTCAATAGTGTGTATATTTTCTGCTGTATTTTAATACACGAATATTGTTCGGTTTAGAAATATATATATATATATATATATATTTGTACAATACGATTCGGATAATTCGAACGATTTCGCGAACAGAACGCGCACTCAAATGAGTTAAATCCTTTTAGTGCCGCTGACAACAGATCGAATTTAAATTCAAATTGATACAGTCTTCGCGAATCGACCGTGTAATCGTATTATCTGCACAAATGAAATGGTCGCGTCGTGCACATGTAAAATAAATGCGCGCTCGAGTGATAACGTGCCACCTGTAGTTTCTGCTCTCTGCGGCTATATTTAGTATTCGCCCTCTCCCCCAACGCCCCCGGAAACCCTCTTCATAAATAACGATAACCGTCCTTCTCCCCACCGCCACCGTGTAATAAGGGTTTCGTCGACGATGTTTCCACTTGGTATAGGCTCTATCGCGCGTATCATCGAGAAGTAAATTATGTACGAAGGGAACTCAAACGGAGTAAGGACCTATTGGCCGTAAAAGAAAATTTATTCCATAAAAAGAGTTACAGCAACCAAGTTTCAGTATACTATATTTGTTCATAATCTCCATCGAAATTCAGATTTGCCGTACAATCTATTTTTTTTATTCTGCCGAAGAATATCGTCATTAATGAATTTTCCGTCAAAATTCTCTACCAATTTTTTCTTGAGAGCCTTTTGCTCGATTTATAATTCTTCTTGAAAATATATCTTCTCATCGGAGATTTTTCAAGAGAATTCCGGAATCTATTTCGTGGCTTTTTATTTCATCTATAAAAGTCACGAAAGTGACGAGTCGCATTAATGTTTCTCACAGAAATCTTACTGCAGAAATCTCTTTGACAAGAGATAGTTCAGATATTACACTTGGCAAGCTTAACAATTGTCTCGCTGACTTTAAACTGGAATAGCGTGATGATAAACAGAGTAAATGATAACACGTAATATGTACACGTAACATCTTTTTTAGCTTCTTCTTGAATCATCTCTTAAATTTTGTCGCATACATGTTTTGCACATATGATAGATATGTATCGGTCGGTTTAGCTTCCAAATGACCCTTATAACTCGTAGACACGTCGATTGTTGTACAATAAAACGTTTACGCTCGTAGAGGAAAACGACGCTAGTCGTTCCCTCCGAAAGAAATTATATTGATCGATATTATATCCATTCACATCTCCCTAGCTTTCTGAACTGCGTACCCCCGATCAATAGTCAAGGCATTGGTCATTACATTTGTCTTTATTTAACTCTGAGATACGTAAACAGTCGCTTTGTCAGAGCTCTGGTTATTTATACTCACTTCTACTGAATATACTTCCAATCAGATTTCTTCTAGGCAATCTTTGGATGAAAAATCTTAAAATATTCTGAAGTCTTAAATTTTTAAATATCTCACTTTGATTTCGCTTTATTTTTAGGCTGTGTTCCTTGACGCTAACTCGATTAGTGATACTTCGATCGCTCGGCTCGGACCTAGCGTCCATTAGCATTGCGGTCAAGATGCAGAGCTCCAAAAGGACCTTGCGTTCCAACGAGATGGCTATACCGACCGGCGGCATACTCGATACGGAACTGGAATTGCAATTTGCACTTCAGTATCCGCATTTTCTCAAGAGAGACGGCAACAAACTTTTGATATTATTGCAAAGGCGGAAGCGATACAAAAATCGCACGATGCTGGGATACAAGACTCTCGCGGAAGGAATCATTAACATGGCACAAGTAAGCCTGGGATTTCACTTTGTTCCATCGATTACAGAATGATTTATGTCTCGCACAAAGTTTATCTAATTATAATAAAGAGGTAATCGTAAGAGGTCTATCGAGAGATTGTAATAATATTACAAAATGTTTTCTCCAAAAAAAAGATGAAGATGCATAATTTGTATTGATGTTGCGTCAGGCATTAAATTTTCTCGCAGTTGTAATGATAATCACTTATTACAGGTGCTGCAGAAACAAATGGACGTCGAGTTGGAACTTATATCAGACAAGGTGGAAAAATACGGTGGTCACTCTGTCCCACTGGCACGCGTGAACGTTGTCGCTCTGAGTTCCCAGCCGGTCGATCATGATAAAAGACTGACGAACGATCCCAACGAGAGGCTCTGTCCGGAATTCAGTGACGAGGAGGAGGAGTTTAGCTCGGAGGGCGAGGCAGAGGGCAGCGACAGCGAGCCTACGTTGGAGGTGCACAGGCGGAAAAGTCGCGGAAAGATTCCACCGAATGCCAGGGTGCGTGCAAAATTTCCGTTCAGCTTAAGCCTTCTAGTCACTCATTATTTCTGTTCTGATGGTTTGATGTATTATGTTTTTGCAGCAAAGAAATTTAAAGCAGAAGTTTATCGCTCTGCTAAAGCGATTTAGGGTATCTGAGGAGTTGGAGCACGATCAAGAAGAAATTGGGCAAAAACTTTCAGGTATATTTAATAATATTACGTAAACAAAATTATAAAGGAAATTAATATAATAAAGGCCCAAAACTTGATGGATTAATATTAATTTAAAAATTTTTCTTAAAACTTTTTACATATTAAATGCAATTTTGGAAATGTTAGAAAAATGTTAATTGAAATTAAATAATTTCTAAAACAAAAAATTATTTAAATGGTCTTGTTAAAGGCGGCCATATGGAGATAGAAGAATTGTTCGACGAATTAGAAGATTTATCGGACAGCGGGCCAGAATTGGATACCATGTCTGTTAGTAGTACACCGAAGCCATCGCTAAGACCCTTTTTCAGCTCTAGTCGATCTCTTCTCGCGCCACCTCACTCCGGTAAGTTATTGCATAGTCCGATCATTCGCGTATTCTGATAAAATGTGTGATATATGTGTGATACGTGGCAAGGTATTTTATCAATACTTAAAACTAGCTCATTGTGCTGATGTTGCGATGTAATATTTAAGTAATAGACATATTAAAGGCTGGCGTTTAAACGAATGTTGGTACCGTTAAGTATATAACGATATACGGTAAGGAAGATACATTACATTTCAAATTCATTGTATTCTGGCTTTCGCTCTAGGCTATTGGTTTACACTCGTTAAATAATCACTTTTTGCAGTTATATGTCGCGTTTTCATGTCAAATTATAAGCCATCTTTTTAATTATTGAGAATAAAGACGAAATTTTTCCATACTTTATTGTTCACTAGGACCCGTTATACAGGTAGGATGCTAATATTTTCCTATGGAAAAAAAACGATAGACTTTCTTCATTTTTTGTTGTATTGATGCAAAATGCTATATTTCTTTTAGCAGAACGAGGGAGTGCAAAAGCTTTTAATCTTAATTTTAATTTTTTAAAGGGCATAAATAAATTATATATTTTTTAAATTAAATTTATGTTACGGGAGGAAACTAAATGGATAATTATAATTACTTATGTTGAGCAGATTTCTAGACTCTCACTGCTGCCATTGGATTATGATGTTAAAAGCGAAAAACCTTATGAGAATCTTTTCTTGATTATAACATATTAAAATAAATTAATTTTTTGCGTGCCTTATTTTATATTAAATGGAATAGATTTATAAAATGTAACGTAAAAATTTTTTTAATTTGTGGATTAATAAATAGTTGTACGTCTCAGTTAACTTAAACTCATGTGAGTTTTCGCTTTTAATGTCATAATTCGATATGTCTGAGAAGCGCTAATATATCGCTATTGTCTAAAGATTAGGATCTTAAAAATTCCATAGCTTACTCAAACTCAGATCTTCTAAGTGAAAATCTGGTGGGTTGGCTTTTGCACTGTTGCATGTTACGATTCGATAGTAGTTACCAACGAGGATACCGGACCTATCTCAGCGACTACCACGTGTCAACAATCCGCGAGTCAGCCGGCTAAAGAGAAACACCGTATCGGACACACAACTCCGGGTATGTAAATATCAATCAGTCTTGAAGCCCCCTACGAAGAGCGAATAGTTTGAATGTTTTAAGGATTCCGCTTTTTATCAAACAGCACGTATTTTGCGTTTGAATATAGCATGCAATGTAAGAGAGGCATATATATATATATATATATATATATATATATATATATATACATATATTGTTGAAGATGATTTAATAGAATCCATTAATGTTTCTCGAACTGATAATCTAATTTAATCTTTTTTCCTCTATATGACACAGTCAGTACAAAATAACAAAAAACTCTAGATTAAAAACGAAACAACTTGTTAAGAAAAATTATATATTATATTTGTAATGATGGATTTCAAGGAAATATTGAAAGCAATTCAGCAACAATAATTTTGTAGATTGGAGAAGAAACTCCAGCGCATGAATGACCTTGCTAATCGACAGAAGCTTGGTGTTTCTATCACATTTTGGTAATTAAGTGGCTTCGCGATTTACACTTACACAAGCAATCTAATTTATATATACATATACATACATATATAAATTATACATTAACTTTTCTCTTTAATAATGCAACATATATCGTTCTAACGTAGCCAAATACAAGAATAATTAAAATGGCACGTTACTTTCGTTTCTCACTTGTTCAAATATTAAATGAAATGCCTCTTTATATGTATAATCAACTTTTCCTCCTTCTTCCTTCTCTCTCTCTCTCTCTCTCTCTCTCCCTCCCTCTTTCTCTTTCACGTGTATTTACTCACTTACAATTAGCATGTTTTCCTTAATTTTAGATCTATTATTCTTACTTTGCTCTTTAAAATAGTATTTCGTCAGAAAGATACAAATATGTGTCAATGTATATAAATATCGATGAAAATAAATTTGTGATTAGACATTTAATTTTCTCGCAATTATTCGTAATATACGATTTCCGAGTACTTTTCGTTTAAAAGAACTCACTAATATATGTATTTATAATGTGCGAGCCTGTTTTCCCTTTACATACGCTGTGTGTCTATTTGCGGCTTCTTGTATGCAATCTTGTTAGACTTCGATCTGTGGTACTGGCCTGTATCTCTCTATCTACTCGTATACGTACGTATTCTTTACTCTGTCAATCATGTATTCTGCTTTCCAATAACATCGCGACTTGCACATCTCACGAGTTCACCTCTCTCTGTCATTTGCAATAATACCCTGTAATAAATGCTACAATTGTGATCTCGATAATTTCGTCTTACAATTAGTTTGACTGAAATTTGACATTCGAGTTATCGCAAATCAAGATGTATATCTACTAGGTGTCATGTACATACAACTGGAATTAGCATTTCCAAATCGAACACATCAAATAGATAGAAATATTTATGAATTCAACGTGCATTTGATAGTTTATATCATATGTGCAAAGTTAAATAATAATAATTTTGATGAATTAACTGCAGGCAGATATAATTCGTTCGGTTCGAAAATGCGAAAATTTCCAACATAATGGTACCTAGTGTATTTTTCGAGTAATTTAATATTGGCACATTAGTTGTGTGCTTTTCTTCACTTTACACTTGTTCCATTTAAATACCTATACAGAGTTTGCCAAAAGCACCGATATTTCACACTTGATCGTAAAATTAAAGAAACCAGTGATATTTTTAACGTTGATATATCCATAATTTTTATGTTCGGTCGACTGGAAATTAACTGACTTTATAATTAAGCTACAATTAAGCTTTAAAAACGATTTAAACGAGCAAAGCGTCTTATTTTTTTAATTTAAGATACATTTTAATATAATACGTGATGAAAATCATTCGCCGAACATCTTGTATAATTTTAATGTAAAGTTTTTGTCAACATATTTGATTAGGTGTTATGTGAGATGAAAAAGCTTCTAAAAAAAAATATATATATATATATATATATACCGGTGATTTTGAAACACTTTGTATACTATGTTTTAATTTAAGTTTCGTATCCCTGTAGATAAGTAACAAAATCTCGTTGCAGAGCGTGGAGTGGACAGACAGAGCGATGACAGTTCTCGAAGAGCCGACAGCGATTCTCACCCTGAAAATTGGACAGATCACGAGGCGAACGATCCACCGAATTATGTAGCGGGCTCCCCTCCAAAATCAATGGAACAGCCTAACAAAAGTGAAAGCTCCGAGAGAAGAAGTAGACTTTTTGCGCGTGATAGAGGGACGCCTGGCAGCAATAAATCGAAGAAACACAGTCTCAGCGTTGATCTAAAACCCTCGGCCGATTTAAATAATACAGAGGTAGTAATGTTATTTATTCTGTCCGTTACTCTGCATGAATCATGTAGATATACTTAGTGTCTTTAATGCCATCATTCCATTTGCCATCTAGGAATTAATGGCACAAAGTATATGTAGTTCTTGATTAAAATATGTAACACATTATATTTCAAAATTATACTTATTAATTTCAGCCAAGAAAAGCTTTAGTCGAACAACTAGGTCGAGTATTACCAGATGATAGTTTACCAGAGGCTGTGTCACTGATATCCATAGCGGATCCCGGCGGTGCTGTGCTCGCTGCAAAACTTCAAGAAAGGAACCATAAGGTTCTGACGACTGCCTCTCCGGCTGACATCCGTGCAACATTCACGTGTTTGGTCACGCGAATACAAAAATTGTAATTATCATATTCCTTAATTACTTAATTCCACCGGCACACAAAAAAAAAAAAGTGGTTTGTGCATTTGACCGGACCCATCTACGGACATGTTTT